CGGCTATATAGCCACGCCGCCAATATACAAGCCATTCAAAAATTATTATTTCACTGTGTATTGGGTAACTATTTATATTTTACAATAAAAACTAAATGTAGCATGTCTCCCTGTCATTTAAAACAGGGGTTTTCAAACTGGGGTCCGGGGCCCCTTGGGGGGCCGCCAGATGGCGCTAGGGGGGCCGCAAAGAAATTTTAGATCAATGAGCCCACATGGATGAATTTTGTGTCTCGCATCATTCTGAAGGTTAATATATTTTTATTATAATTTGAGCTCAAAAGTACTGCAAAAATGAAGCTTTATGCTTATGTCATTTAAATGCAGTTGACACTTTCGTGACACAGGAAAAGAAGCGCAGCGGCCCGCCTCCGTGGACGGGGACTTTTATTGAATAAGCGCTTCTGGCCAGGCGCTTCCTGACGGTGATTTTTGGCGCTTGTCTGCTGCACCTGACGGCGTTTAGCTTTCACTTACGCTTACCTCTTTTACGCTAAACAACTAAATGAATGCTCAGGTTTGACTGACTATATTTCAGTTAAAATACATGATCAATAAGAACATTATCGGTGGCTGAAAGCACTACCCTGTTTATGGCTTGCGTTCCTAAGTAACCGAGGTGCTGCGGAGTGCGCGCCTCTGCGCAGGCTTCACTCATAGGGAACAAATAGCATTTTAAAGACACGGCACAACATTGCACCTCATATACATATACAACATTGCACATACATATTAAAATTGTAAAGCAAAAAGTGCTGCAATAACAATGAATGGAGCTGTCTTCACATCAGCCAGTTCTCAGTTTCACTCCTGTTACACTAACCGTACGTTCACACCGAAAGCGGCGAGAGCGTCAAAGTAGCCGGAAGTCATTCATTTTCAATGAGAGCCGGCGGCGATACGCGGCGATAAGCGGCGATGAGCAGCGCGGCGCGTCTTCGCCGGCGTGAGCGTCGAGGAGAGTTGAAATGAAGTCAACTTTATGGTAATGAGCTATGACGCGGTTCGGCGGCAAGCAATCAGAATGAAGACGTCCATCGCTTGATAGCAGTTCAGAGAACACAGACCTGTGAACTTTGGTTCCGACCACAGTTGTTCCCAAGGGTTTGATTATTGCGGTCGCCGGATTTCCAATTATTTCCAATTTTTTCCTACAGGAACATACATTAAATAAGTTACTGGCGAGTTACTGATGTTCATTAATGTTATATAAATTTATCTTAAAAAAGCGGGAATCTCACGCGATGTGACAGTACAAAACAGTACTGCTGCTTCAGGATATTTCAGACGTATGGACACATATTGGATAAAAAGAGCAAAGCCACACCACACGCAACTTTATCTTCCATTGTTGTATGAATTTGATAAGAAGTGCGCAACATTTTCACGCTAGAAACATGTTTTTTGCAGGAATGTAACTGATATGCTGCAACGGCTCCTTTAAATATGAGATCAATGTAGCGAGTTTTGACGCTCTCGCCGCAGGAGCTGAAGGCAGAGAGCGTTGTCACCAGGGCGGCAAGAGCGACCTTGGACGCTCTCGCCGCTTTCGGTGTGAACGTACGGTAATGACAGCTGGATGAGCTCTGCAGTGGACCTCTTACTCACATTGGTTCATAACTGAATGATTAAAAAAACTAAATTGTATACACCCTGAGTAAAACCACTATAGCCTTTAAAAATTCTAATGTATCTGTTTGTGTTATGTTATAGGGCTAATAATTATTAAATATTAAAATGTATTAGTGCTCTGTATTTAATGGAGCTCAACATACCTGATCAAATTTTAATACTCTGAATATAAATGCATTTTTGTTCCACTTTTTCCCATATTTGTTTGTGTAACTTATTTAAATGTAATGTTCAGTATTATTATTAATAGAACAAATTGGTATGAACATTTTAAAGTCAGCAAAGCTTCTAAAATTATGCAAAGTAAAACTTGTGGCTCTTTGAACTTGAATACCCAATTCTAGATTGCATTTAGGAAATTATTTTTTATCAGTGTAAGTCAGGATTGTCGACCTGAGTAAACTATGATGTGCACAAAAAAAAGGAATAAAAATAAACAGAACACACTGAACCACTACAGCCACCATTGTAGTATTGCTAGTTACAACAGTACAGTTAACTGTTAACAGGCTAATAAATGACAAAACTCTTTAAAACTTTAAAGCTTTAAATCTTTAGATACATTTAGACTCTCAGCTGTAAGGGTAAATACAGAAGAGTCTAGCTGTGCATAGGCTGAAAAAAAGCATAAAAATGGCATAAAAACTGTGTAAAGTGACGACTTGTACACAAAATATGGCTTGATGGAATAATCCAGTGAGAGAAGACCACAATGAGTACTGCGCATCAAGATTTGATCAATAGATTGAAACACTGAAACCATGTCAACTCAACTAACATCTTACAAAAATTAATCCAGATAATGAATAATATAAATTTATTGAATAATATATAATAATATAAATGTATTGAATAATACAATAAAAAAAATTAAGTACAGTTGTTAATTTGAGGGGGTGGCGTCATTTTTATTTTTGGGGGGTCCCCAAAAGAATTCGCCCTACACAAAGGGGTCCTCAGCTGAAAAAGTTTGAAAACCCCTGATTTAAAACATGCAATTTATAACACACTATAGCTGTAGGCCTATAGTCTATGCAGTTTGTAAACTTTCAGGGCGGTGTTGGTTACTGCACACCACGTTATTAAACTCCCAAACCTCTGAGGGAGATTATGTTACCTGGTTTTAAAAGGCATTTTAAAATAAGAACAAGTAAAAAAATAAAACTAGTCCCGTGGATTTTAGCGCCTGTTATCTTGCCAGTGTATGTAGTGTGTGTATATTGGTTATGCAGCGAATCTCATGTGCCGGTTGGTGAGAGAAAGAGAAAGAAAGAGAAAGAGAGAGAGAGAGCGTGCGTAAAGAGCTCAAAGCCGGCATATACCCAAAAGCAAGATCATTTTGTTATAAATATTCCATTAACAATACTTATCAAAATATTTATACATTTACATGTTGTTTATTGAGATAATGTGATCTCTATAGGGTGTATGATATATACAGAAGCCAGCCTGATCTCAGCCGATCAGCGCGCTTCAAACTAAGATCAGCATTTTTTCACATGGCAGGTTTTTACGTCCTTCATACATGTTGAGAGATCGAGTTTATCGACTTGATAACGTATTATGTCTTGACAATCCACACAGACGTCACTTAGTAAAGCGTGAAGTCATGTAGAATTTTACTTGTTGCATTAGTCTGAATGTAAAGCCCCTCGTCAGACAGTGCTGGAGTAGCGTTTATTGTATTTGCACCAGCTCTGCAATGCATGCCCACAACTTCATGCATTGGGTTAAATTAGGCTGTCCAGTCTCTGTGTTCAGTCCATCACTACCATGATTAAAAACCAAACATTTGCCTGTTGTAAAAAAACATTCATGGTCTGTCATCCCCACCTCTCAGTCAGTTTGTAAACATCAGGAACACCACATACAGAGCAAAACGAGGGGCAGCCCGAGGAGACTGTATTGTCCCACTCCGGTAAAGTACCTTTGGTCAGGGTGCCTTTTCAGTTACAGCTGCACAGGAGTGGAATTCTGTCCTTGGCAGCATCAGAGATATAACCTCATTAAATATATCCAAAAAACATTTAAAACCCTGTTTAATAGAGAATCAGACATGTCATCATTCTAATTAAACTGAAACTAGCATGTTTCCATTTGTGCCCACCATCTTAATGATCTGTTGTTTAAATGTGTTTCAACTATTTTTATCTCTATTACAAAATGTTGGTGTTTTAGCTTAATTTGTAAATATTCTCTTTTAACATCTATATGACCATGTCTATTTTAGTACTTTTTAACTATGTTTGATTGATTGTATAATTTTTGCATTGTTTTTTTTAGGTTGTTAAGGGACAACAGATGAAAAATAGCCTTCGGTCTAATTCTGGTGCATTGGCAGAAATGCTAATTAATCTACACTGTCCCTGCCAAATAAACAAATAAATAAATAAACCCAGACAGGCAGCCAGGTAATAGAGTGAACCAAAGCGCATTGGTGCAATTATAATGTATCTAATGTTTTTTTTTTTTTATTAAAAATTTTTGATTTCACGATTAAATTCAAAATTAAATCGTCTTAAAACGTAAATTCGAATTAAACGAAAAAATAAATAAATAAATCGCACAGCCCTACCATTACTTATTATATTATAAAAATATTAACTTTATTCACATACTACAGGGACAGGACAGGCTACTCCTCCCAAAATGTACCCAAAAAAAAAAAAGTTATTATACCGTGATATTATACCGTCACCGTTCAAAAGATGAAAAATACCATGATATTATTTTTAGGTCATATCGCCCAGCCCTAGCACAGGATCAGCTTTCATTGCTATGCAGCTGATACTCAATTATACATTTTAACAAAATCTGATGAGACATCTGAACTGTCTGAGCTAACTGAGTGTATTAAAGATATTGAAAACTGAATTACCAACAATGTCCTTCTTTTAATTTCAGACAAACAGAAGTACTACTTATTGGAACAAAATCCTGTACACAGCAGATCTCACAACTGCAAATAGAGGGATACAATGTTAGGAGAGACTTTGTATAAATTTACCATACCACATCTCACCTACAATCCCTGCTGGTATAAAGACTCGAACATGCAACCTTTGGGTCACAAATCAAACTCCATGACAATTAGGACACAATAATTGATAGATTATTAAATTTATGCCAAAGGGATTCACTTAGATGAGATCAATTGTAGATTTACAGTAGCACTTTCTTCAACTGATTAAAGCAACTAAAAGCATTCTTGAGCTGAACTTGTAACAGAAAACCATAAACCTAACAGAATTTGGATTGTATTTCAAAGCTAATGTTAAAAAAAGAAAACAATTACATCAGAGTGGGCGGTATATGGGTTGGTTGGTCTGATCCAGACACTGTATAAATGAAAGAACAGAAAGGAGAGCAGAACAAACACCTAACAGGAGGAGACTCACTCATGGCCTATGAGACAGAGGATCAGGAGACTCAATACTGCTTTCCTGACATCAACTCATCATGTTTGAAGGAAAATCGCTCAAGTGATGAATATAACATCATATATTTGCTTGTGTCATTGCTGTCAGCATGGACTGTGTTTCTGAACCTGCTGGTGATCATCTCCATCTCTCACTTCAAGAAGCTTCACACTCCAACCAACATGATTATTCTCTCTCTGGCTGTAAATGATCTGCTTATAGGACTCGTCATGCCTATAGAGGCCTTTAGACTAATTGAGACGTGTTGGTACTTTGGAGACACTTTCTGTGGGCTCTATTTATTCTTTGTTACATTACTTCTCTCAGCATCTCTTGGCAGTTTAGTTTTAATTGCTGTTGATCGTTATGTGGCTGTGTGTCACCCTCTACTGTACACACAGAAAATAACCATGACTAAAACATTCTGTTTGAGTATCTGTCTGAGCTGGGTTTGCTTTTCAGCTTATCTTACTGGCCTGATAAATATTAATAATCAAGATTTTGACACTTCACACAGAACAGATGTGTGTTACGGACAGTGTATAATCATGATAACATTTAGTTGGATACTCACTGATCTGTTTGTGTCTTTTATTTTTCCTTGCACTCTGATCTTCACTTTATATTTGAGGATTTTCTATGTTGTTCATCAGCAAGTGAAGGTTATAAACTCTCTGATGAAGGGTGGTAAATGTGTAACGGAGGGTTCAGTGGAGAGGAAATCTGAGAGTAAAGCTGCTTTGACTTTAGGAATCATTGTATTAGTTTATCTGCTTTGCTATATTCCTTACTATATCTGTTCTCTAACTGTAAACTCTTCCACAGCTTTGAATGTTTTAATATGGATTGTGTATTCTAACTCGGGTATGAATCCTCTGGTTTATGCTTTGTTTTACCCCTGGTTTAAAAAGACAGTTAAACTCATTTTAACTTTGAAAATATTTCAGCAGGCATCCTCTCTAATCAATATTTTTACGGAACATTAATTATAATTACTTTTAATGCTGTCGCTAATATAGAAGTAATATTTGATTTCTATTTGTAGTTTTTAATACTCATTTTATATCACACATCGCTTATTTCAACTTGTAAGATTGATCTTCAAGTAAACTTATGATGTTGACCTACTGCTGTTAAACCAACAAAGATGTGTGACAGCGGTATCCATTAACTGTGTGAATTAGGTATAGTGAAGAGGGTTGCATTGCTCAGCTTGCTTTGTGTTACTCCCACATAATAATGTTTAAAACATCCATGAAAACTGTTGGCAAGCAACAAACATTGTTATCAATCACATATTTAATCATTTATTCTTGATAACAGACGTGCACAAACAGATCAAATTTACAAGCAAGGCTAAATCAAGAGTATAAAGCAATCTATGGCTGATTACACAGACATGGGCTTAAACTAAATCAGGATTAGGTCATTGTACAATTAAAACATTTAAAAGTCCTTTTTTTATAAATATGCTTCATCAAAAATAAATAATAAATAAATAAAAATACTGGTGTCCATGTTGAGACTGAAACACAGTCAGTGCAGGGCATGAAGCCTTGTCTGTGAAATAAGGAACTAGCGTCATTGTCAGATCAGTCACTGTATAATACACCACTAAATAATTAATTCACAATTGCATTTCAGTTTATTCTAAGAACATTTCATTATAGTATATCACATGCCCAGTTCTCACCAGTTATAGAGGAAAAAGCTGACAGAAACACCAGGCGGGTAATTTTCAGGGTATGGATTCAGTCAATTTGTGATATATTTATTTTTCCTACATTTTCTCCAGGTGCTGTCATTGTAAAAACAGTACAATTAAAACAAACTATTATCTAACTACTAAGTGTTTATGTTTATAGTGTTTGTATTCAGTGCTTTAACCATGAAAGGACAAATGTCTTACTGTCATGAAACTTATGACAGTGAAAACAGAAACATATAATACTCTTAGTCCAGCCATGTTTGAGAATGATTCTATTCAGTATTAAAGAAATAGTTTCCACAAAAATGAAAACTACCCCATGGTATAGTCAAGAGTAAGACTTGTCCTTCTGTCAGATGAATAGAGTGGTTTTAAATTTTATCCTGGCTCTCCTATGCTATATCCAAAGGTGTTGGACAATGGCTTTTATTTTGAAGTTACATAAATCTATGTTTTTGTAACAGAAATATTTCTAATTTTTAAATGATAAACTCCAGTCACTGAGTTCCAAGGTGACTGCATATGACACACAATGTAAAATGAAACATGAATTCGGCACTGTAAGACTGGCACCTTTTCCTAACAATGAGACACAACTTGATCCCAGAAACTAAGCTAATTATAGGCCAATTTCAAATTTTCCATTTACATATAAAATATTAGAAAAAGTTGTTTGTGCCCAATTATGCTACTTTCTACAGGTGAACAATGTTCTTGAAGTGTTTCAGTCAAGTTTCAGGCCATATCACTGAAAACGTTTTAGCGAAAATAACCAATGATTTACTCTTATCTGCTGACTAAGGCTGCATCTCCTTACTAGAGCGGCACGATTCTGGCTAAAATGAGAATCGCGATTTTTTTGCTTAAAATAAATATCACGATTTTCTCACGATTCTGTGGATGTAAAATAAAGGTATGGTAAAAACAAACATATGGCACAACATCGATAATAATATTATGTGTAGGTCTACTGGTTTCTATAAATAATTATATTCTACTTATAATAATTCTGATGTTGAATTATTATGTTTGAGATATATGCTTGCAATCTGTCATATTAGACAATTTTATTCACTGGTAAAATCAGACATTTGCCATTATCAGATTATATTCAACAATATATAGGCTAGAGTAGTTATACTAACATTGTAAACCTTTATTCTTATGCACAACTGTGTGTTCGCTATGAAAGAAAAAGCATATCAAATGCTTGTCGTAATCATAACTCTAAAATGCGATATGATCATTTAAATGAAGTGTACACGTTCGGTTTCATTTCGCGTGCGGCTCCCAAACGATCACTCTGTGACACAAACTGAATATTATTTACAACTGTATTACCTGTTACTCACAACATATGCAGGTTCTGTTCACTAAAGTAAGCGTGCACCCGTCTATCATTAAGAGCGCGCCCTCTCTGTGATAACAGCTCAAGGTCAGCTGCTCATGTCATGTGTGATTTCCCGGTCGTGAAAACATCATTATAATAAGACAAAAACAACATTTTTAGGTGAATTATACCTTGTAAATACAGTATGTGACTCATTCAACATCATTTGGAGGTGTCCATTTCACTGAGCAACAAGTGTGAAACAATGAAAAGACTCGTGCAGCCGCCTTTTCTTCTCTCCTGAACTTGAAAATATGATTGGCAGATTCATAGAAATGCTGGATAAAGATCGTCTAGGGGGTCGAATCGAGATCGCGATCTTTTAACGATTAATTGTGCAGCTCTACTCCTTACTAGTTTTTCTTGACCTCAGTGCTGCATTCGACACTAGCAATCATGTTATTCTCATGAAGCGCTTACATTTTAAAGGTGTCCAGGGACAGCCTTTACAGTGGTTTGGGTCAGTGGTAGGGAACCTATTGCTCGTGAGCCACATGTGGCTCATCAACCAAAAATACGTGGCTCTCCAGCTGTCTCCCTTCAATAATTTTTTACAGTTTAAGAAATTATAACAGTCACTAAAAATCTGTTTCCTATTGACAATACAATTACATTTCCCTTTTTGTTTTGTTTTTTTATTTTACAGCAAAATGAATAAAAACTTAGTTTACAATCAACGAACGCATGTGTGCAGTGCTGCGGATAAAATTAAATCGTGCCACTAATACAGGGCAAATGCGTGCAGGTGGTTACCATAGAAATACGAGTTGTTTGCTCTTAATTTTCTTAATATTTGTAAATATAATTTTTGTTCTTTAAAACTAGCCAAAATTATTATTATTATTATTATTTTATTAGGGACTGTTTCATATGTGTTTATCAATCATTCTTACTGTTTAATGAACACTAACTGTCATAGATAGTTTAAGACGCAAACCCCTAACTACACCACAGCTGCACCTTCAGCAAACCTCCTAATTCCTGTAGCACGAGTACTCTATGATTGTTTATGAGCGTTAAAGTGGCGGATCTGTTCGGCAAAATATTTGGCTGGGTGTCACTGCACCCCAAACAACTGAAACGATATAACTAAAGAAATCTCTAGGGCTGGGCGATGTCGACCAATTTGGCATTGTACGATGTGTAATGTTAACCATCGCGATGGACGATGGCATCGTCGTCATAGGCAGAGGTGAATTAATAATTTATGAATAATTAATTCATAAAAAATTTATTATTTGTAGCCAACTGTTTCAACTACCTGACATAAACAAATCATAAATAAAGATAAGTTACACAAAAATTACCACCTGTCAAACGCTTTTTCCACGAGAAGTTGGTCGGTAAAAAAGGTGCACAACTAACAGTATCTGAGGTTTTCACTAAAATTACTACAAGTGTAAAAGTGAAAGACTGAAGCAGTGTACCGATGCTGTTACACGTTACCTGATAGATTCAAAAGAGCGTAAAGTCGTTAGATAGAGACGAGATGAATTAAATATCACGCTTAACAACTATAGTGAGACGCAATCCAACGGTACATCCTTGATAAACTGTCAGACCTCCACTGCTCAGACAAGCACACGACTGTTTGTGTGTGTGTGTGTGGTCACGTGATGTGCGTATTCAGTGTGTATTTTTCATGAGCTGTTTCACTGTTGCCAACTATTTTTAACGAAAAGGTGCTAAGCTCAGCCCGAAAAGTCGCTAAAAGTCGCTTGATTACATCATACGTTAATTTGCATATTACTGACGTCATCACGATCTACGATTTCTGTTTGTTTAACAGCCTATAGTCAATAAAGGGGTATTTATATTTGCACTACGCTTTATGTAAGCATGTCAATTTAACTAAATTTATTGCTATTTGAATACAGTATATCACTAAAGATGTGTAGCGAATGTGCAGTAATCTAACAGACACAATAAACACGGACAAGTTCTGAAACTCTCACTTAAAATATCTGTGATTGTGAACAAGAAAAGAATAAATGGTCAAATTAAATGGTTAAAATAAAGGAGAAGCAGATCAGTTTGACTGAATAAGAGAGATACCTTCACACTGCTGCTGCTAAATCATTTGCCCTTGGTTGTAGAGGGGTGATCTGCCGTCAGGAAGCAGGTGGAAGAGACTGCTGTACGAGGACTGGGTCGCCTGTGTGCTTTGAGGTGGGGGAGGGGCCGGCGGCATCACCTGTAGCTCGAAGAGTGGGGACGGTACAGTATGGACAAATGACAGTCTATAAAAATCTCCAGTAACACACAAAAAAAAGCGCTAGATTTGTCGCTAGGCGCTTTTTTTGAAAACTTAATGCTGGGGGGGGGGGGGGGGGGGTATTAGGGGGGGGTCTGAAAAGTCGCTAAATCTAGTGGCAAAGTTGGAAACACTGAGCAGGTTTGCGACGTGGGTGGGGTGGAGGATCGGCAATGCCAGCTGAGCATCGTGTTGTCTATTGGTCATCAGCAATGTTCGATGGCATCGCCTATCGGCCCAACTTTAATCTCCACTGTGCCGAGCGAGAGCGCTTCTTACTAAACAGCGCATCATCGATGACGTAAACGTGCTCAGGTGTAAATGCAATGTAAGTGCAGGCCGTCAGGGTAGACGTGAGGGAAGACAAGCGTGCTTTGGCCCAGTTCAAGGCAATTGTATATAATGTGAGTAGTACACCCTAAATGCAGTTTTGAGCAGAACTTCACTTGCAGCAGAAACCCCTGGAACAGAATTTGGAATTTTATTTTTTATTTTTTTTTTTTGATAGATTACATCACTGTGGGCGGTAAATGGGTTGTTCAGTCTGATCCAGACACTGTATAAATGAAAGGACAGAAAGGAGAGCAGAACAAACTCCTAACAGGAGGAGACTCACTCATGGCCTACGAGACAGAGGATCAGGAGACTCAATACTGCTTTCCTAACATCAACTCATCATGTGTCAAGGAACAACACTCCAGTCATGGATATATCATCATACATTTGTTTGTGTCATTGCTGTCAGCATGGACTGTGTTTCTGAACCTGCTGGTGATCATCTCCATCTCTCACTTCAAGAAGCTTCACACTCCAACCAACATGATTATTCTCTCTCTGGCTGTAAATGATCTGTTTATTGGTATCGCCATGCCTGTAGAAGCCATCAGACTGATTGAGACGTGTTGGTATTTTGGAGACACTTTCTGTGTGCTCTATTTATTTTTTGTTGCATTGCTTCTCTCAGCATCTCTTGGCAATTTAGTTTTAATTGCAGTTGATCGTTATGTGGCTGTGTGTCACCCTCTACTGTACACACAGAAAACAACCATCGCTAAAATATTTTGTCTGAGTATCTGTCTGAGCTGTGTTTGCTTTTCAGCTTATTTCACTGCCCTTGTAAATGTTAATAATCAAGATTTTGACACTTCACAGAGAACAGATGTGTGTTATGGACAATGTTTAGTCATGATAACATTTAGTTGGATAGTCATTGATCTGTTTGTGTCTTTTATTTTTCCTTGCACTCTGATCATGATGTTTTATTTGAGGATTTTCTATGTTGTTCATCAGCAAGTGAAGGTTATAAACTCTCTGATGAAGGGTGGTAAATGTGTAACGGAGGGTTCAGTGAAGAGGAAATCTGAGAGTAAAGCTGCTCTGACTTTAGGAATCATTGTGACTGTGTATCTGCTTTGCTATATTCCATACTATATCTGTTCTCTAACTGTAAACTCTTCCACAGCTATAAATGTTTTAGTATGGCTTGTGTATTCTAACTCGGGTATGAATCCTCTGGTTTATGCTATATTTTACCCCTGGTTTAAAAAGACAGCTAAACTCATCTTAACTCTAAAAATATTTCAGCCGGCATCCTCTCTGATCAATATTTTTACAGAACTTTAATTATAATTACTTTTAATGCTGTCATTAATATAGAAGTAATATTTGATTTATATTTGTAGTTTTTAATACTCAATTTAAATCACACATAGCTTATTTCATCACTTGTGATGTTGACCTACTCCTGTGAAAGCAACAAAAGAACATTCTAAGAACATTTCATTTTAGTATATCACAGGCCCAGTTCTCGCCAGTTATAGAAGAAAAAGCTGACAGAAACACCAGCTGAGCAGTTTTCAGGGTATGGATTCAGTCAGTTTGTGATATATTTATTTTTCCTACATTTTCTCCAGGTGCTGTCATTGTAAAAACAGTACAAATAAAACAAACTATTATCTAACTACTAAGTGTTTATGTTTATAGTGTTTTGTCTTCAGTGCTTTAACCATGACAGGACAAATGTCTTACTGACATGAAACTTATGACAGTGGAAACAGAAACATGTCCCGTAATACTCTTAGTCCAGCCATATTTGAGAATGATTCTATTCAGTATTAAAGGAATAGTTCACACAAAAATGAAAACTACCCCATAAGACTTTTCCTTCTGTCAGATGAATAGCGTGATTTTAAATTTTATCCTGGCTCTTCCATGGCATGCTGTTTAAAGGTGTTGGCTTTTATTTTAAAGCTTTCATAAAGCCATGTGTTTTTGTGACAGAAGTACTGTATTTCTAATTTTTAAATGATAAACTCCAATCACTGAGTTCTGAGGTGACTGCATTCACATTATGAATAAATGATGAATACAACATATTACACACTATGTAAAATGGGCAGAGAAATGAATATGGCACTGTAAGAGTAACACCTTGTCCTAACAACATGATACATGACAAGATTCCAGAAACAAGCAATTTTTTTGTCTGCACCAAACATGACGCGACATGACTTGAACATTTAAATACCAGCCACTGCACTCCCAACGAAATGGTAAAGGCTTTTAATCTATAATGAATACATATTAAACCTTTTTAACATTATTAATAGGCTACTGAGTGACTAATGTTGTTGGTTTGCACAAGTTTGACTATCAAGGTGAACTATCTGGTGCTGCCATCAGTAGTATAGCAATAAATGTCACAAAAATGGTATTTAAACTCACATTGGTTGTATTTAACATTGACGGGTGTGGTGTATTTCAAATATTTCACTTCCTCCAGCAGCATGTTTTGGGGGAAATAGAGTGTTTTCTGAAACGAGAGCTGTTAGTGAAGCAAAACCAGCCACATTATGGTCACTGCTGCTGGAGCCACTAACAGGCTTTATTATAGGTGCTAAACATCTATGCATTGCATTGGCGCAGAAATATGTCTGATTTTTATTACTGTGACCGACAGTGTCTGCACGTCTGTAAAAGTCTGAAACCACAAGATTGAAGACTGTGCCTTACTTAGCCAATCAAAAACAAGAATTTCCTGTTATGGAGACTGACCTTAAATGCATTGTTAAAGACTCTTTCTTAAGCTCTCTGTGTTGTGGCCTGGTATCGCAAGCTCAAATTCTCAATAAAGGCAGAATCCCAGTATACAGAGAATAAACATATTATGGTTGACAAACTTATTCTGGGGTTATGATATATACCATCATAGCCACCGCGCCCAAAGACACAGTAGCTCACCCAAACATGTCTGGCCAACTCTATCAAAATTTGATAAACAGCATTATTTCTGCTTGTGTCTAAAATGCATTACATTAAGAAGTTAATAGAATGTCACTGCAAAAAAAAACTTATGTGCTATTTACTTCAAACAATAGTGGTAACACTATTGCACGCAATGTTGATGATATGAGTGATAGATGATAAATTTAATATTAGTGGAATGTGCGTTTATAATTTATGCAAATCCACCACCATTTACTCAAATTTATTTTTTTTAGCAAAAAACTCTAAAAGAGTCATGTGAAAGTTACTAGGTTTTTTTCAGTGATATATGATGATTTTAATATTGTTAGTGGAATGTGCTTTTATCATTTAAGCAAATTACCGTCTGATCACTGTCGTTGCTGATATTCAAATGCAAACACTTCAATCAAATCTGCATAATTGAGTAAATTTTCTTAAAATAAAGGTGAAGCCATCTTTCCTCAATTTTATTAGCTTAATTGTTTTCTGAAATTAGGCTTAATAATTGCACTGGTTTGCTTAAAACATTAGTCAAATTCATCTCTTGATTTTATTAGCAAATTCTTCTCAATATTTTATAATGAATCCAGAATATCTATTTTTAAAGAAAATATGCTTATTTTAATGACAACATCAATTTTTAATGAAAATTACAAGCCTCAACATAATTTTTTACAGTGTTGATTCAAACAAATCACAAAATAAAACCAGAAAATGTAAGTGTTCTCCTTTATTATCAATTGCTGATCATGATTTTGAGGATTGATTGATCTGTACTTCACAACACACACTTCGATCTTCAGATTCATCATTCACAAACTTGGTTGATGAAGCAAATTAGACAGAGATTAGTTATCAAGATTTAAAGATTCAAGATCTGCCAAATCTTAGATTGTTTAAGCAGGGTACGAAGAATTAACCCCAGATGCGTAACACAAATAGCACAACAAGTTGTTTTCCTTGAACAATAAAACATAAGACATCATCATCACTTCAAGAAACATAATCCAAGTTATCAACGACACTAAATACTTTAAAAAATAACACCACATTTATACGAGTCATCATAAAACAAAATCAAAAATATCCTCATCAATAAAATGGACAGAGGCCCTCTCCAATGTGTATTCCATACACATCTCACTAGCTTTGTTTCCATCCAAAGATGCGAATTAGACTTATGTGCAACACTGAAATATTGCATAAAACATTTGCGGATGAAGCACAGTTTCCATCCAATGAGTCAAAGAAAACAAAATCATCACTTTCTGAAAACCTGACGCCAAAGATCAAAAACGAAAAGAGAGTTTGTTGCGGTAGAAGAAGACGCTGTGAGCATTTTTGTAAAATAATAAATTACATTTGCCTCAGAAGAAGAAATGCACTAAATGGGCAATGGCTTTTGGAGGTGAGACGCTCAAGACTTAAGTTCTGAGAGATAATAATACTGAACCACTTTAACAAAGGAGGGATTTTAGAATGACTAAAACAATCAGATGTTTTACATTGTTCTCACTTTGCTGGTTGGTCCATTAATACACTCCCATCAAGCCCATTTTTATCATCACATAGTTAGTTTAAACAAAATCACATACTTTTTTTAATGTACATGCTGAAATTTATTCATTAAATGTGTTTCCATTTGCATTTTTTATCATCAGATAAAGTTTATTTTTATTGCACATTTTGGCATTTCAATTAAGCATTTTTGTCAAAACGACATTCAAAAATGAGCATTAAAAATAGGCGGCTGGAAACATAGCTACTGTACAAACAAACATAACTCTACATCTAAACTGACATCTGTTAGAGTTTCAAACCAAGTAGTCCAGTTCAGCATTCATTGTGGAATACATTTCATAAATAGCATCTACAGTTGCGGTGAAGTTTATCAAGAACTGGCGAACTTTCGCCAAGCAATCCTCCTCTGCAACTTCTTGATCCTTGGACAAAGCTTTAAGAAAATCTGACCGGCACGGTGCAGCAAATAATGCAGCCTACAGCAGAACCAAACAAATGCTGCATGTCAAACCCTCATAAAAACCACACCTCAACCATCACAACAAAGCCAAAAGTCAAGACCATTTCCTTCACAAAACTTTGCAGATTGAGGTGAAGTTGGTTTTATATTAACACATTTGTTCATTTTTGAACAGTGACAACTTGTGACATTGTTTACCATGCTACTTTAAATATTTCGCCTGAAATCCCATGTAAATATGACTTCAAAACTGCATTTAGTGCTAATTGACTGTGAACAAAGTTGTTTTTTATTAGTCATTATTGGCTATTTAGAATTCACAAGCATAACTTTTTGTACTTATATTATTAAGGAGCAAGCATAGAATGTGCGTATATATAAAAACATCTTTACCCTAATACTTTAATTTAGGTAAAGTTGGTTTTATATTTGCACATTTGTTCATTTTTGAACAGTGACAACTTAACACGCTCATTATATTGTTTACCACGATACTTTGACTTTAACTGTATAAATAGGACTTAAAATCATTAGCTCTGTTTAATTGACTGTGAACAATGTATACTTTGATAGTCATTGGCTTCTAATGTGATTTCCCTATTTATAATTTGCAAACAATGCTTTTCTGAACTTATATATTGAAGGAGCAGGTCGAAATGTGCGCATATAAAACCAATTTTACTACAATACTTTGAGGTAAAGTTGGTTTTATTTGAACACATTTGTTCATTTTTGAACAGTGACAACTTATGTCACGCTCCCTACAGTGTTTACTATGCTATTTAGAATATACACTCTAAAATCACAAATAAATATGACTTTATAAGAACATTAGCAACATTTAATTGACTGTAAACAATGTTTTATCTAAACTTTGATATTCATTGGCTGCTAATATGATTTCCCCATTTAGAATTTGCAAACAATGCTTTTCTGAACTTGTATTATTATTATGGAAAATATAAAACCAACTTTACTTTAATACTTTGAGGTAAAGTTGGTTTTATAGTCGCAATTTTGTTCATTTTTGTAGTGACAACTTAATACACTCCCTATATTGTTTAACACGCTACTTTGAATATTACCGTCTAAATATGACTAATGTTGTTAAATAGTGCTAATAGTTGTAGTTTTGAACAATGTATACTTTGAAAGTCATTGGCTCTTATGTGATTTCCCTACTGAGAATTTGCAAACAATACTTTTCCTAACTTACACTATTAAGGAGCAAGTATAAATCTGTAACGTTAACCAACTTTACCTCAATACTTTGCCAAGCCTCATACCATAGCAATGGCATGTCCATATTGTTGTCACAGCCGACATAAATATTAACAAAACACCCACCTTGAAAACTTTCTGGACTATCCAGCCGTGGTATCTCTTCAGTGCTTGATCATAAGCTTTGGTGATGTTGACGCGAATGAGATTGGGATTGTCCTCATCTCTCTCTCCATCGGCAAGACTCTGCAGTAAAATCTGAATGAAGCGCAGGCCTCTGAGGAGAACACGGTAAACTGTTAAAACATCTCTCCGCTAATGTATAAGATGAATGTTTTGTAATGAAGCAGGTTACAACAACACTCACGCGATTAGATATCGCTCCTAATAATTCACTGTACATCCTGGCCGTTAGACAAATACCGTTACTATCACACTTGTTTGATTTGAAAGTTTGAATCTGCGCGGCGTGCGTTTTGAATTCGATTGGCTTGTGTTTTTTCTAGCTACGCAGTCTTGGCCGCGCGCACGTTGACTCTGACTGCGTTTGGTTTGGACGCGGCGCACGTGACCCTGAATGTTTATATATTTTCCCACACGATAATTTTTGTTAACTGCTTTTTATTAAAGGGCTTAACCAAACAGTTCCTCTGTTACCTTATATTTAATAATAAAAAAAATAATCATAATAATTTTAAAAGATGTGAATAGAACTATTTTTATCTAAACTTTTCTTCAGAATCTTTATCTCTGTTCAAATACTAAGTCTAGATTTATCCAAAGGTGTGCCAGTGTTTATTTTTAATAAACTTATTTAATAAACTTATTTTATAAACTTATTGAATAAACTCATACTTTTAAAACTTTTGTAAAAAAATTACAAAAGTAAATAAAATGAGATCAAAGAACAAGAGACTGAGATATCAAACACCCATAAGCACACAGTTTGAACACTTTCAGAAATAAAGGTACAAAAGCTATCACTGGGTCTGTACCTTTTCAAAAAGTAGCCTACACTTTTGTACCATACAGGTGCACACTGGTACCTTAAGGGAACATTTTTGTTCCAGTAGGGCAGAGATGCCCAAAGTAGGACCCATAGGCCAAAGTTAGCCCATTTTAAGCTTTCATTTGGTCCACAATCCCTTTTGACATAAAGAGTTTTGGTTGTTTGTTTTATTGTTGAGCTACAAAAAAGCTAATTGAATTAAATGTTTCAATGAAATGTTGTTAATAAATCTGATGTTTTAAAATTTAAATAGTTACTCGACGGATAGAATACTATGCAGAAGACATCGACGAGCAAATGAAGGCATAAAGTAGCATAACTCCATTCTGTTATAAATGAAATTGCTTTTACTGTAATACGTTCATTATTAAATGTTAATACACAGTTGAAGTCAGAATTATTAGCCCCCCTGTTTATTTTCACCCCAATTTCTGTTTAACACAGAGAAGGATTTTCCGACACATTTCTAAACATAATAGTTTTAACAACTCATTTCTAATAACTGATTCATTTTATCTTTGACATGATGACCGTAAATAAATAATATTTGACTAGATGTTTTTCAAGACACTTACATACAGTTTAAAGTGACATTTTAAAGGCTTAACTAGGTTAATCAGGTTAACTAGGCAGGTTAGGGTAATTAGACAAGTTATTGTATAATGATGGTTTGTTCTGTAGACTATCGAAAAAAATCTAGCTTAAGGGCTAATAATTTTGACCTAAAAATGTTATTCTTAAAAAATTAAAAACTGTGAAAAAAATTCAAAGGGGGGCTAATCATTTTGACTTCAACTGTATATACTATATTAGTTCATATAAAGCAATGTTTTCTAGTTATTTTGAAATATTATTAAATAAATTAGGAAATTACAAATGGCAACTAGATTTACCTTCAGCCCAAAAGTCTCCATCAAGTTTGGTTTTTGTCCCTTTATAAGAAAAAGTTTGGCACTCCTGCTGTAGGGTATACTTGTCTACTTTTAAGGTACTCTGGAGTACACAATTGTACTTCTTAGGTATATGTACCTTTATGGTACAAAAGTGGACCTGAAAGTAATAAGAATGTACCTTTAGAAAAGGTACCGGCTCAGTGACATCTTGTGCACCTTTATTTCTGAGAGTAATTGAATCCTATTTCTTTGCCGAACACACTGACATTACTTTTCAGAAAAGATCACCACAGCGGAATGAATCGCCGACTTATCCAGCATATGTTTTACGCTTTTATTACGCTTTTTAGCTTATTCAATTCATATACAGCGCATGTGTTAGGACTGTAGGAGAAACCAGAGGACCCAGGGGAAACCCACGTCAACACGGGGAGAACATGCAAACTCCACAAAGAAACGCCAACTGACCCAGCCGGGACTTGAAGCAGCATCTTCTTGTTGTAAGGTGACAGTGCTAACCACCGTGCCACCTAATAAACAAAATAACAGATGAAACAAAAATCAGGACATGTGAGAATGTGAATAAATTACCTCTTTAACCACATAAGCGCCAGTGTGGCTCCAACTTTAGGCCACTCTGAGCCATAGCTGCTTTTCTCAATGATCAGTATCTGCTGAAGAGTCTCGTACTTCACCGGATCAGAGTCATAGACGGCCTTTATTTTCTTATGGGAGTGAAAGAAATTCAGAACACGTTTTCAGAGATTTATTCACATATTAAAGTTTAGTTGAAAGCCATGCACAATAATAAAATGAAGTACAATATATGATAAATTTGAACACTTATGGTGCTAAATGTACCATCCTCACAATTATATAGACCATTTTTAAGGTATGTAAACAAACACAATGGTTCTAACGCATTTCCTGTTTTACATTTTTAATTTCTATAACTTCAGAGAATTCAAAAATAGCCACATGTTCATAAGTTATGATAGCTGTTTTAACATTAATTTATGATTCAATCAACTCTTGTTACAGTTATGAAATAGTTTGATAACAAAACAGGAAATATTCACCGGCATTGAAATGGTCTATAGCAGTGGTGGCCAACCTTGTTCCTGGAGAGCCATCTTCATGCAGGTTTCAGTTGCAACTCCTATCAAACACACCTGCCTGTAATTACCACGTGGTGTTCAGGTAATAATTAATTGGTTCAGGTGTGTTTGATATGGGTAGCAGCTGAAATCTGCAGGAAGGATGCTCTCCAGGAACAGGGTTGGCCACCCCTGTTCTGTAGTTTAGGGCACAGGTGTCAAATCCAGTTCCTAGAGGGCTGCAGCTCTGTACAGTTTGGCACTGACCCGAATCAAACACAGCTGATCCAAATAATTGAGGTGTTCAAAATAGTCTTGAACACCTTGATTAATGGAATCAGCTGGCTTTGATTAGGATCTGAGCAAAACTGTGCAGAGCTGCGGCGTCCAGGAATTGAATTTGAGACCTATGTCCTTAACTACAGGTGTCAAACTCAGTTCCTGGAGGGCTGCAGCTCTGCACAGTTTAGTTTTGTTATTTCCTATTTTGTTCACCCTCCCGCTTTGTTATTTCTCCAAAACACCTGTAATTTTTGCTGTAAGTCTGTAACAGTCCCGGGTTGCCGACTTTGGTATAGTATTCGATCGCAGCGGCCACCTGAAACCCAGTGCATAGTACAGTTACTTACCCGGTTCTGGGCTGTGTTATTCAGACACCTCACTTCCCACACCAAAACATCACAACCCACCCTCGATCTCCCGGATTTTCAGAGACAAATATTGGCAGGTATGGTTCCAACCCTGATCAAACTAATTGAGTCAATCAGGCTTGTCTGAAAGTGCGTTGAAGCGGGTTGAAACTAAACAGTGCAGAGTGGCCCTTCAGGACCTGAGTTTAACACCCCTGGTTAAGGGAGAAAAGGAGTAGATTGGATGCCACAGTATGGCAATTAAAAGGCAACAAATCTGTGTTATCTAATTTTGTTTTGATTGTATACACATTGTGGTTTGCTATTGTGCTAGTTTGATACTATATTTAATAATTTATATTTAAATTATTATTTTTGATACTATATTTCTTTAATGTCATTTTTTGTATTTATGGCTTTTTGTTCTCTACATTTTCTGCTATACTGGTCTTTATGTGGAGAGCCAGCCTGATCTCACGAGAAAACGTAAGTATTTTACGTTCGTACAAATTTGTACGATTTTAAAAAGGAGGCGTGGCCCCTAACCCCACCCCTAACCCCAACCCTTATTGGGGCATGAGCAAATCGTACTAAATTGTACGAATTAGATTATACGAATTCATACGAATTAGCCACTAAAGCAAAAAGTTACAAATTGCCGTGAGATTGTGTTGGGAAAGCTCTATACCATACACTGTACATCTAAATGTGGAAACTGTAATTAAAAACAAGTAAAAAAGAAAACGATACACAATAAAGTAATATACTTACAGTGATGTTTCCATTAATGTCCGACTTAATTGGAGCAAAGACCTTGGAACCAAGGCAATCTGAATAACATGAAATGTGCTATGAAACATTATAACACCCAGTTCCTGTCAATATGGAGAGCATGACATGTAGTTTGCAAATCCAAATTACTTCAAATGATCAAATCAATACAAACTGAAAAAAGATATAAAAAAAATGATTAAACAAATGTAATCATCAAATTTTCTACTAAATCCACACTAAACCACAGTAGAGAGAGACCGGGTTGAAAGAACTTTTTGTTTGAGCTGTTCATCTGAAATCTGTTATTTTCCGATACCTTGTAGCAACAATGCATTTGAACTTGTTTTACACAATCAAAGATTATGTGAGTTAAGGCCAAATTCACAGTTTCGTTGTTAAAACATCCAGTGACCCACCACTGGAGTAAATAATTCTGAGTTATTATCATCAAAAAAGCTAGAATATTTATTACTTATGTTGAATGTTGGTTTGAAGTTAGCACAAGTGCCTATAGCATTAAACTATGACTATTGGAAGTCAATAAAAATGTATCTACATTACAAAGAATTATTTCGGCTTACTGTATAGTAGTCAACATTTGAAGTGGATCAAAACGGTTTATCGAAAGTGTTGGAATTGATGTTGTTTAAAAGTTTTAGGACAGCTTTTATGAAAGTTGATCCACTTTGAATGTTGGCTACTGTGTGTGTGCCACTGTTCAAGTGAGCTCAAAAAGGAGCTTGAAGTGTTTAATACTGAAGACATCAACATTTGCTGCACTTAGATCAGAGATGCCCAAACTAGGGCATGCAGGCCAAAGTTGGCCCATGGTAACTTTCAATTCAATTCAGCTTTATTTGTATAGCGCTTTTACAATGTAGATTGTGTCAAAGCAGCTTCACATAAATGGTCATAGTAACTGGGTCAGGGTAGTTCAGTAACCTTTGGTTGCCCGCCATCCTATCTGAAAAGAGAGGAAGAATTATGTGGATGCTTTAGAGATTGTCATTTCTAATCTAATGTAGCCTTTTGTTTGTTTTATTGTTAAAAGCTAACTGCAATCAAATGTTTCAATTAAACAGTTTAAATAATTCAGATTTAGGCCAGGGCAGATTCTGCTTGACTGGTCAATTCAGCATTGAACTCCACTGTGCTATAAATGCGATTGTTTATACTTTTATTGCAATAGGTTATCATTTTAAATGTCATACTGCATTAGTTAATTACAATTTAAAGTATTTTTTCTAACAAATTAGAAAATTACCCATGGCAACTTTAATGTAATATAATTTGGTACCTTTGGCTCATGGCTCTCAATCATATTTGGTTTTTGTCCCTTTGTACGAAAAAGTTTGGGCACCCCTGATTTAGATAGTCAAACAAGCAGTGTTACACTAACAGTGCTATGGTCTCACAAATAACATGAATTCACCAAAGCAACATTTTTTTAAGCCCAGTGAAAAAAAATAATAAAGCTGGATATATTGGAACACTTCAGGTACTTTGTCTCAAGTTAATTTCTAACCATGTTTGAATGGTAATCTGGCGCCACCGTGTGGTTAAAAAGTCGTTGAAAAGGCCATCCACGAATAATCAACACAGGGAGAACAGTATCTGCTCTGTCCACTCAATATTTAATGGCCTCCTTGTTGTTTATTGCACCGGTTTTAACATTCATCCTTTAAAAGTCTAATAAAATGCTAGAGCAAGAGGGAAATTTGCTGTCATAGACTGTTTCAAGTCTTTACTAATAAACCTTGGTTAAAATTAATGTAAACATACTTAATCTAAAGGCATTTTCTTAGGCTTACCAGTAAAAAATATCGAATATAGCCTACGTGAGGTAATAAATTTAGCGACTTACCGAAAAAAGGCGGCAGGTGAGAAACTGACTCTAGAAATGTCTTTGTGGCGATTTCTTTGGTGTCAGACAGCGGCGCAAACTGCTGGTCCAGCAAAAGAGCCATAGCAAAGAATAAATGAATGAAATATAGCCAGCAAATGAACGAATGTGAGATTTTATTTTACAAAGAGATCGACGCTTCGTTTCTAATTTAATTTGGCCCGTCATATACACTCAACAGGTGAAAACAACTGAAACTGTCCGGCTGAAGTAAAGACTGTTCAGTCAGTTTGCAGTGAGCCCACAGCACTCAACGTTAATAAATCATGCCAGCATTGAAATGCACTTTATGCTGTCGAATGGCAAACTACAGTAGTAGTGACGTTAGTAGTTTATTTTTATAGTACAAACGGCCCAAACACAATCGACATTAGTTAAAATGACAAGTCACACATTGCATAAACAACTAGAGCACTAAAAACAAAGCCCATAACATTCAGAAACCTCAAAAGCTAAAGAAAGATGATGGGATTTCAGAAGGTTTTAAAAACATTTAAAGTTGTAGCTTGTCCAATGTGAGGTGGATTATTATTCCAGGGTTTTCTTTGTCAAATTTAAGACTTTTTGAGACCCTTTTATGAACATTATGAACGAAATTTTAGACTTAAACAGGGCTAAACACTAAGGATTTTTTTTGTAATGGCCCAGTTACTTCAAACAGTTTTTGTATTACAGAAGATCATGTAAAGGGATGTGATGCTTTAGTTTTCGTTCTCTGCTTAATTTAATTAAGAGAATTAGCTGTAAACATGTCTAACAGCTGTGATTTGTATCTCTGCGCAATAAAAACACATGTTTAGTTTTAAGATGGATTATTGGTGACTGGGTATATACTTGGACAAAGGAAAATTAAGACCTGTTTAAGATGATTTAAGACCTACAACTAACTAGCCATGTAAGTAAATTTAAGACTTTAAGCACTTACATTTTGTTTATGAACTTTAAGACATTTTAAGACTTTTTAAGACATCGCGGACACCCTGTTATTCAGAATCAGAAAGAGCTTTACAGCCAAGTATGTTCACACATACCAAGAATTTGTTTTGTTTTCGTGACAGAGCTTCTACAGTTTGTAAGGTCCACCCAGTTGGTCCAATGGAGGTGTCCTCTGGTGGATGAAAGTTCAATGCCTGTTCGGTCTTTTCAGTGAAAAATGTTGATTTACTTTAAATTTAACTCCTATCTGACTCCAATTTGAATATGAGGCGGTTTAGAATATTAATATATTTATCTTTCATTTCATCTGACTCCATTTAGAAAATATTAAGAAGATTATATCAATATATAATTTAGATAAATGTTTTAACCTTTTGTCTTCTCTCGTAACTATTAGATTTGTTCATTCAAGTGCTCAGAGAGATCGTCCCGGCCGATGGCGTCCCTCACAATCATAGTCATGTCAGTCTTCAATACTAAATAGAGGTAAATGACTACCACTTTTAGATGGCCGCTCCCCAGCTTGCTCGTTCTAAAGTGTTTTTAATTAGTCCTCCTTAGATGTAGACCCTTGAGTAAAGACAATATCATTTTCAATCTGAGATTAGGACAATTATTATAAATGTAACCGACTACTGTGCTCTATAATAATTTTGGTTTCACCAAGCCCTAGGTATTACTTTAGTATTTACTATAATTTTGACCCATACCATGTATTTTTGGATATTACTAAAATGTGCAACATATGTCCTTGCACAAATGCAACCAACTAACCAATCAACCAACCAATCAATCAATCAATCAAACATATGCTAGAGAAGAATTAATGCACAATACCTTCATGCAAATAATCAATGAACATCCATGACAAGTTCCATCTCGAGTACATTTAAATTTTATTATATTTAATACCAAGACTTTCATTGAAGCAGCATCAACTGCATGATGCATATCCCATAATGAAGGCGGCGTGACCTTCTGAACTGAGCAGGTTAGTGTGTGCGCGTGTGTGTGTTTGTGTTCGCACATCCACCAGCTACTGGAGCAGGAAACAGAAGGACAAACTCACACCAGGTTAGTTGCATACAGAACTGACAACTAGCAGCTTACATATAGAGCTTGTATATAAATATAATACAATGTACTGAATAATACAGAGCGATACCACATAATACCGGAATCACTAACACAGCAGCTGGTGGCCGTTAGGCAAATGTGTCGTTATTTGTATTATTTCAGACAAGGCAGCACATGAACACATACATTTAGGACACACGAGAGCATCCCTAAAACATGGAGTGAATTCATAGCGGATTACTTTCGTTTCGCAGCGGTCTATGAATAAACTCTGAGGAATGAAAACTTTTCACACGCGCACGGGATTGAAGAAAGCATCCTGAAAGAAATATAAAATGGACGTACATTTGAACTTGATGGAAATGAGAAATTATTTCTAGTGAAAATAAACATGAAATGTCAGCATGTACACCACCAACCAAAACATTAGAATCAGCAAGATTCCTTTTTCATGTTTCATGGCAATTCAGCTCACCAAGACTTTATTTATACGATTAAAAATACATAATTGAAAATAATTGTTTTTTTTAATCTAATTTATTCCTGTGATTCAAAGCTGAATTTTTGTCATCAATATAGACCTTTTTCTTGGCTGCTGCATGGAGGGCGCAATTGCGACCAGCGTCTTCCGGTAGAATGTTTAGAACTTCCGTTTACAGCATTTACAACAGGTAATTTGCCTTCCAGCACTGGGAAACCCCCATACACACTCATTCACACACATACACTATGGCCAATTTAGTTTATTCAATTCACCTTTAGCATGTCTTTGAACTGTGGGGGAAACTAGAGTCCCCAGAGAAAACCACGCCAATACAGAGAGGGTAAAGCTTTTATATATAATTTTTTTTCTGGTTTTTCACCTTTAATGGATATTACTGTAGAGATTATTGACCGGAAAGCGTGGGGAGCAGAGAGAGGGAAAGGATCAGGATAGGACCTCAAGGCAGGAATCAAACTCAAGATGTCTTGAGCACGGAAGTGCATACGTCGATGCACTAACCAATATTTTAAACTATTTAAATGCATTTTTAATGTAAAAAAAAAAAGACTAAATAAAAGCTTTTATTTTAAATGTATTTGTAAAGTAAAAGATTGAAAATAAAATCTATTTAAACATGTTGCATTTGTAATGTAAATATTGTAAAAAATATTATTACTTAACTATTTTAACCATTTTAATGCTTTTGTAATGTAAATAAAAGAATGTAAACAAAAGTTATTATTTAACTATTTTAATGGTAATGTAAAAATATCGTAAATAAAAGCTATTATTTGAGCTATTTTAAATAATATTTTTAATATAAAAGATTGAAAATAAAAGCTATTATTTAACTATTACACCAATTATCATTAATGCATTTGTAATGTAAATTATTGTAAACAAAAGTTAATACTTTATTATTTTAACTATTTTAATGCTTTTGTAACGTAAATAAAAGATTGTACACAAACATTATTATTTTTAGCCATTTTTAATGTCAACGTAAAAAAAGATTGTAAATAAAAGCTTCTATTTTTAAGTATTTTTAATGTATTTACAATATTAAAGATTGAATATAAAAGCTATCATTTAATTAGTTTAACTATTTTAATGCATTTGAATTGTAAATAAAATGATTGACTTTTTTTTAAATATTTGTATGGTAATGTAAAAAAAGACCATAAATAAAAGCTATTATTTTTAAACGTTAAAAAGAATCCTAAAAGTCAAATGTATGGCAGTTTCCATAATATTACGAAGTTTAGAACTTTCAGCGCTGACAATTGGAGGAATCATTATTTTATTTCATTTGTTCATTCATTCATTTACCTTCGGCTTAGTTGCGTATTTCTCAGGGGTCGCCACATTGGAATGAACCGCCAAGTTATCCAGCATATGTTTTACACAGCGGATGCCCTTCCAGCTGCAACCCAGTATCCACCCACACACACACACTCGTACACTATAGATGAATTGGATAAATAAAATTGGCCGTAGTGCGTTTGGACTGTGGGAGAAACCTGAGCACCCGGATAAAACCCACAGCATTACGAACACAGACATGTCAACTGATCCAGCCAGGACTTGAACCAGCGACCTTCTTGCTGTGAGATAACATTGCTAACCACTGAGCCACTGTGTCGCCTATTTTATTTTAGAATTATTATTATTATTATTATTTTAAATCAGTGTTTTTGTACCAATAATAAATGATCACAAGCAAACAGCATTCTGATTTGTGAAGGCTCACGTGACACAGACGTATAGACTGGAGTAATGATGAAAATTCAGCTTTGAATCACAGGAATAAACTAAACTTGAAACTATGTTCAATAAGAAAACCGTTATTAATGGATTATATTATTATATTTAACAATTTTGACTATTTTCCATCCAATAAATACAGCCTTGATGAGCAGAATTACCTTTTAAAACATAAAAAATAAATCTTACTGATTCCACACACACACACACACACACACACACACACACACACACACACACACACACACACACACACACATGCACGCACACACAACAGCTCACATACTAAAGCACTTCATAATAAGACTATACACTCTGAATACTTAATTCAATGGCCACACCAGGACGGGTAAGATATTATTCTGCAGCGAGGCTAAAGGGTATTTATTGCACAAGAAATGAGGCATTGTGGGTCCTGACATCTACATCATGGTCACGTTTTGAGTGAACTGCTTTTCAAGACAAAGAACCATTTATTACACCAGCTGAATTTCAGCAATAATAGCTGTTTACGATTTGTTCCGGTTTTGTCTTGGCGTGATGTATTGGAAATGCACAGGTAGTAAAGGCCTTGTTCTGTTAATCCACAAACATGAGCGATACAGACGAAAATGAGTTCATTAGCACCATCGGAAGCAAAACAAATATTAGTTTACAATTAAAAACGGCACCATAAAGCTAGGACAAAACAATAATAATATTAATAATGTCATTGATAATTGAAACTCAGTGTCCCAAAATTTATGTTAGTGTGTACGAATAAAATATATATAAAAAAGGTCATTTCTGCAAGAATACAAACCAAACTGTGCTGTGTTGATCATCAATAATAATAATAATACCTGGGGCGGGACAATAAATTGATGCAATGAGAATTGATTCTGAATCGATTCTGAAATTGAGCTTGGTTTTTGCCACCAGGTGGCGCTGTATGTTTTATAAACAGCAACATACAGCTAGTCCTTGCTCATACCACTTAAACATAACCATCATTAATAACGTTGATGATTTGATGAAAACATTCAAGCAAATTACACAATAAATGCGTGGTGGAAGTACATTACATCGCTGAAAGCTCAAGAGTTCTTCATGCTTGCTAATAGTGTATGATTAAAAACTAGCCTAGAGCACTGTCTGCTGTTAAAAACAGGGCTAGAGCGTCACCTGCTGTTAAAAACTAGCCTAGGGGCACCATCTGCTGTTAAAAACTAACATAGAGCGCCATCTGCTGTTATAAAACTAGCCTAGGGCAACATCTGCTGTTAAAAACTAGCATAGAGCGCAGTCTGCTGTTAAAAACTAGTCTAGAGCACCATCTGCTGTTAAAAACTAGCCTAGAGCGCAGTCTGCTGTTAAAAACTACCCTAGAGCGCCATCTGCTGTTTAAAACGAGCCTAGAGTGCCATCTGCTGTTAAAAACTAGCCTAGAGTGCCATCTGCTGTTAAAAACTAGCCTAGAGGGCCATCTGCTGTTTAAAAGAGCCTAGAGTGCCATCTGCCATTAAAAACTAGCCTAGAGGGACATCTGCGGTTAAAAACTAGCCTAGAGTGCCATCTGCTGTTTAAAATGAGCCTAGAGCGCCATCTGCGGTTAAAAACTAGCCTAGAGCGCCATCTGTGGTTTAAAACGAGCCTAGAGCGCCATCTGCTGTTAAAACTAGCCTAAAGCACCTTAAGCTGTTTAAAACTAGCCTAGAGCGCCATAAGCTGTTAAAAGTAGCTTAGAACGCCATCTGCTGTTTAAAACTAGCCTAGAGCGCAATAAGCTATTAAAACTAGCCTAGAGCACCATAAGCTGTTAAAACTAGCTTAGAGAGCCGTCTGCTGTTTAAAACTAGCCTAGAGTGCTGTAAGCTGTTTAAAACTAGCCTAGAGCACCATAAGCTGTTAAAACTAGCTTAGAGAGCCGTCTGCTGTTTAAAACTAGCCTAGAGTGCTGTAAGCTGTTTGAAACTAGCCTAGAGCGCCGTAAGCTGTTAAAACTAGCTTAGAGAGCCCTCTGCTGTTTAAAACTAGCCTAGGGTGCTGTAAGCTGTTTAAAACTAGCCTAGAGCGCCGTAAGCTGTTAAAACTAGCTTAGAGAGCCATCTGCTGTTTAAAACTAGCCTAGAGTGCTGTAAGCTGTTTAAAACTAGCCTAGAGCGCCGTAAGCTGTTAAAACTAGCTTAGAGAGCCGTCTGCTGTTTAAAACTAGCCTAGGGTGCTGTAAGCTGTTTAAAACTAGCCTAGAGCGCCGTAAGCTGTTAAAACTAGCTTAGAGAGCCATCTGCTGTTTAAAACTAGCCTAGGGTGCTGTAAGCTGTTTAAAACTAGCCTAGAGCGCCGTAAGCTGTTAAAACTAGCTTAGAGAGCCATCTGCTGTTTAAAACTAGCCTAGGGCACCATCTGGCATTAAAAACTTGCCTGGAGCACCATCTGCTTTTAAAAACTAGCATAGAGCGCAGTCTGCTGTTAAAAAAAAACCCAGCCCAGAGCCAAGTAGTGCTCGCTGCAGTCTGAGGTGGACATTCAACTCCTCCTACATCAAAGTGGCAAGTCAGACAATGTAATGAGCACCCTTACTGTGATGGTTGGGTTTAGGGTATGGGGAGGTGTAGATGTTAATAACACACAATAAAATGTGTCATTTTATATATAAAACAGAATTAGCAACAAACGCTTACACACGTGCATCCACTAAGCATTGGACATCTTTCTACACGCTGCAGTGTGGCGTCTGACATGACACTTGGATGTGGGTGGGGTTGGATCTCCACCAGACGCTTCTCCATAGAGCGCCATCTGGTGTTAAAAACTAAATGCAGAATCAATTCCAGGAGAACTACGATACATTCCAATAGTCTAAGACTCGATCCATGAATCACAAAACATCAATGTATGGTCCCAGCCCTAAATAATACTGGACAATATAATAGCAAATAAACGTGTAGACATGGTGAAAGGCGTTCAGATACTGTAACTCAGTTACTGTCTTTGGTAGTCACAGTAACTAGCTGTTTAGCCGCTTTGGCAATGTCGTAGGCACACTGAATAACCTGCTGGGAGTCGTGCGGTGTGGCCTTCTGACATTCGCCCTGCAGACGGCTGGCACTGGAGGTCAAGAGACGCAAAGACCCACGAACGGTCTCTGAAGATGGCCTCTGTAATGGAAGACATTGTTGACTGCTTTATTGACTATTTCGTGCTTGATGTGAATACAGAAACAGATCCAAAGGGTTACAGAAACACTTCACTTTTCTTGAAAACAGACTTACAAAAATAGAATTACAACTTCGCTACCAAAAAACTTTGCTGCTGTGCCATTGCTGCAGCAGGTGAAATGATATTACACACTGCCTGAAAATAGTCCCCAGTTAACATTGATGAAAGTCAGCCTATTTTCAGGTGCTGGTTACGGCGGAATGAGATTATAGTTTCTAATTTAATAATGTGTGTATTTATATAGCATATTTATCATGTATGGCCATACACCCAAAGCACTTCACAATCATGAGGGCGGGTCTCTCCACACCACCACCAGTGTGCAGCATCCACTTGGATGATGCGACGGCAGCCACAGGACAACAGCGCCAGTGCGCTCACCACACACCAGCTATAGTGGGAGTGAAGAGACAGTGATAGAGCCAATACAGTGGTTGGGGATGATTGGGAGGCTGTAATGGATAAGAGCCGATGGAGAATTGGGAATTTGGCTAGGACACCGGGGTTACACCCCTAACTCTTTATGAGAATTGCCATGGGATTTTTAATGACCACAGAGAGACAGGGCCTCGGTTAAACGTCTCATCCGAAAAGTTTCTAGCCATATCAGCCAACAAAATAGCAACTTTTTATTTTCCGTTAGTCTTAGCACACGACGTAACTACAAAAGAGTCAAGCTTTAGAAAAATGAATCAAAACTTTATTATTATTTTTTTTTTTGCGAGATGCTAATGGTCTAATCCAGGCATGTCTAAACTCGATCCTGGAGGGCCGGTGTCCTGCAAAGTTTAGTTCCAACCCCAATTAGACACATCTGGGCTAGCTAATCAAGCTCTTAGGCTTTTTAGAAACATCCTTGCTGGTGTGTTGAAGCAAGTTGGAGCTAAAATCTGCAGGACACCGGCCCTCCATGACCGAGTTTGGACACCCCTGGTCTTATCCCATTCAATAATCTATGCTAAGCTAAGCTAAAGTGCTCATGCCAGACTCGTAGATTGGCTAAATGTATTCACAAATGACAAAACTAAACTCTTTACCTCTAGGAAAGGCCAAATTAACTTTTTTTTTATTAAATAAATAAAGTTGAGTGTAACTATAAAGATGCCACAAAGTGCATTGGGTTAAATTTTTTTCTGGATCTACATAGCAGTTAAGTGGCTCAGGTAGGTGTAACAATTATCCAGAAATGCTCATCAATAACTAGAGTTGGGTACCGTTTGGGGTTATTTGGATACCTGTGCTAAATCGATAGTTTTAAAATGGTACCGGTGCCAAAACGGTGCCTGAACCGATACTTTCGACCCACAAAATTATGGTGGATGACTCTTAAAAAGATTTTTATTTAAAAAAAATAAAGTATAAATTCATATTTTATGTATTTGAATTGAATTAATGTATTTCTTTTGATCACTTGTTTGTTAGCATGAATGCAAGATTTGCATTATGCTATTAACATTACATTAGCTTACTACTAACCTGTGGAAAGGCTGTCATCAAAATCAGGGAACACCTTTTTTATGGGCTAGTTGGGGGTTGTGACTACATTTACAAGGACATCATTGATCTAATGATTTGCCTTAATCTGAATTAGACAATAATATGATTAAGGTGTGATCTCGTTTAACATGATCCACTAACGTCATTACATCACCAGGCTATCCACATTTCCATGTTTAATTTTTTAATTTTTCAACTTTACCAGCAGTTTGGCAGTTCCACTTTCATTCAGGAACATTTCATACATGCCCCCGGGACAAACTGAGGTATTTGATGTGAGTATTAAGTACTGGTGGAAGAGTGTTGTTTTAATGGAGTTTTAGACCACACGCCAAATAGAAAGAAGAAACCTCCGTATTTCACAACACGGGTCTCTGTGGTCCTTTAAGGTAATCAAAAATAAAAAAAAATATCTGTTTATATGATAGACTCTTGATCAGATCATGTCTTAATCAATTTAAAATAAAGCGCTGGTGTCCATGTAAATGTACTAAGTGAAAGTGCCATATTGGTACAGAGTTTCGGTACCCAACCCTAATAATAATCATAAGAATAACCCCTAGAATAAAAAGCTCAGTATTTGGATTTCAGTTTATTTGGAATCTCATTAGGAAACAATTTGTCTAATCAAATGCTGCCTGGGGCTTGAACAATAGTAATGATCTTGTGTGAATCTGTTTTTGTTCAATTGGCCTGTTTTCCACCTTGTTTTTTAGATATTACACTCACAGGATTTACATGAGAACGAGGAAACAATGGTGTTTGAGGTTCACGGTATCCCACTTCCATGCATTGATGTCTTGCTTTTCAACTATGCCAAGGTTTATCTAGATTTACATTCTATGGCACTTTTAATTTCTACAATTGTTGGCCCATTCTTACCTTCGGGAATAACGTAGCCATTTCCGTCACTGCTAGAAGAATTCTCTCTGAACACGTGACGAAGCTTGCACAAAGAAAAGAAAGAAAAAACATTCATATTACTGTTTTTTCTCTAAACAGGTGACCAAAAAATGTCATGAACTATTTTAAATGATGAAAGCTTAGATACTGTTGAAGTCAGAATTATTAGCCCCCCCTTGTGTGCCCCCCCCCCAATTTCTATTAAAATTGAAATAAGATTTTGTTTTAACACATTTCTAAACATGATTGTTTTAATCAGAATTATTAGCCCCCCTGTATATTTTCCCCCAATTTCTGTGTAATGGAGAGATTTTTACATTTACATTTACATTTAGTCATTTAGCAGACGCTTTTATCCAAAGCGACTTACAAATGAGGACAAGGAAGCAATTTACACAACTAAGAGCAACAATGAATAAGTGCTGTAGGCAAGTTTCAGGTCTGTAAAGTCTAAGAAGGGAAGTATTAGTATTTTTTTATTTTTTATTTTTTGGGTACAGTTAGTGTGATATTCAGAGAGGCAATTGCAGATTGTATTTTTCTAACACATTTCTAAGCATAATAGTTTAAATAACTCATTTCTAATTATTATTATTATTATGGAAAGAATAAAAGCAAAAAAAAAAAAAAAAAAAACTTACTAAAAATACTGCCCACTCAACAATTCACACATTACTGTCTGGCTTGTTTCTGTCCTCCACTTATAAGCTAAAAAGGAAATAATGGCCCAGCATTCCTGACCATTATCACCAATAAGGCTTAGTAAAACAGGCATCAGTATACTGTAAACCGATAGGTTCAAATATTTTCCAGCTATTAAAGAAATAATTTGTTCTTAATTATAGTTTTGTAACTATACATTTTTAAAATTAAAAATGGTAATATATACATCAGTGTAAACCTATAATTGGTGGAAAAACATATTCTGTAATTGTGTATCTGGGTCTCCACTTTTGACGTGACCTCTTTTAGCTTTAACAAACGTATCCCTTAGGTTTTTCCAAACTTTTTAACAAAAACTGCCTTCCTTTTCCACTGCTGTTGCAATTTCTAGCTAAGAATTATTGGTCATCTGGTTCTCTCTATAATCACGCATGTATGGATCATGAAGCTGTCTGTACAGTCGTCGCTGTTTCAGACAAAATCTCTTCAAAGTGATTCATCTCAAATGAAACGTGGCGCCACACGAACTGTTCGCTCGAGTCTCAAAAAATTTTGTGCACTCCGCCAGCCAAAGTTATGTCACTCGCACCCAAAGCGAACCTTCGCAAACTCTATGATGACGTCACATTCGCCGCGCACAATGAATAACAGAAAGCTGATTGGCTATTGCATGTTGGTCTCATTTGTAGTTGTACTGAAGTCATTGCGTTTGGGAACAGAGATGAGGTTCTCAAGGTGAATGCGTACCTTGGCTTTAAGGGTCAAACAACAAAAAATAAGGTCAAGAATCTTGGTGTGACTCTGGAGTCAGATCTGAGCTTCAACAGTCATGTCAAAGCAGTTAGTAAATCAGCATACTATCATCTCAAAAACAAAGCAAGAATTAGATGCTTTGTTTCCAGTGAAGACTTAGAGAAACTTGTTTATGCTTTTATCAGCAGCAGGGTGGATTACTGTAATGGTCCCCTCACTGGCCTTCCCAAAAAGACAGTTAGACAGTTGCAGCTCATCCAGAAGGCTGCAGCTAGGATTCTCACCAGAAGCAGGAAATCAGAGCACATCACTCCTGTCCTCAGGTCTCTACACTGGCTGCCAGTTACATTCAGAATAGATTTTAAAGTATTATTACTAGTCTATAAATCACTAAATGGCCTAGGACCTCAATACATTACAGATATGCTCACTGAATACAAACCTAACAGATCACTCAGATCTTTAGGATCATATAAACTAAAAAATTCCAAGAGCTCAGTCAAAGCAGGGTGAATCAGCTTTCAGCCACTATGCCCCTCGCTGCTGGAATCAGCTTCCAGAAATGATCAGATGTGCACCAACATTGGGCATGTTCAAATCAAGACTGAAAACACATCTGTTTAGCTGTGCCTTTACTGAATGAGCACTGTGCTGCGTCCGACAGATCGCACTATTATGTTTTTCGTTTTCTTTTTCATTCTTTTATAACCTATTTTAACACATTTTAATTTTTTTATCTGTTTTTAATCATTTTTATTGTCTGCATTTTATGTCCTAAACTTGTCTTTTTCATTCCTGTTTATGTAAAGCACTTTGAATTTGTTACCGTGTATGAAATGTGCTATATAAATAAACTTGCCTTGCCTTGTAACACCGCAAATTACATTTGGACTAGTGAAATAAAGAACTACAACACCACGAAAACCAAGCAACAACAATAACAAAAATTATTTATCTGAGCAATTGATGTAGCGTTACATGGACATCGTAAAAATAAGACCTGTGCCAAAATATTTAAGACCTAGAATAGAGAATTTAAGACTTTTTAAGGCCAAAAATTCAGATTTTTCAATTTGAGATGTTTTAAGATTCCGCAGAAACACTGTGTAATTATGATTTGTTCTGTAAACAATCAATAAACAAAATTGCTTAAGGGGGCTAATAATATTAGTAATTGGCTAATAAAATTGGCTAAAAATTTGTAAAATGGTTTAAAAAAATTAAAAACTGCTTTTATTCTAGCTGAAATAAACCAAAAGACTTTCTCCAGAAAAAAAAAAAAAAATCATATGAAATATTGTGAAAATTTCCTTGCTCTGTCGGTGCAATAGCCTAGTGGTTATCGCGCCGACATATGGTGCAATAGCACCAGAATCTCGGCTTGAGGACATTTCTTTACCCAACACCCCTCTCTCTCTCACCCACTTCGCTTCCTGTCTCAAAACTGTCCTATCTAATAAAGGCCAAAATAAATCTTTAAAAGAAAATTTAAAAAAATTCCTTGCTCTGTTAAACATCATTTAGGAAATATTTGATAAAGAAAACAAAATTCACAATAGGGCTAATAATATTGACTTCAATTACATCCTTCTTAAACATCCTTGAAAAAAACTTGATAAACACTACAACCCTACTTGGCTTCAAATACTGAAAAAAACGATAAAATTAAAATATGGTAAAATCATTTAATCATGTTATTCAATTTATAACATTTACAAATACAAATATAAAACAAGCCCCTTTTGATAATGAATGGTTTTGGTAATATCACCACACAGTAAGTGACTTGTTATGCACTGTAAAAGGCCAGCTGAAGTGCACATCTGAGCGAGCGAAATCCTAACCTATGGTATCGTTCTCCCATGAATGCATAATGATTGTCACTGATCTGAGACTCAATACCAAGAACAAAGGCTCAGTGTTCGGAATATTGGATCCCAAATGCTCATGTGAATACTAAACATACCGCATGCAGGAAATTCAGCAAGAAACCAGCCATTTTTCAATTAGTCGTGCTGACAATCCTATCACTTGCTTAACAGAGAGTAGAGACACAGTGTCGCCAGAGCGGAGTGCCACTGGAGTCTCGGCCTGCTGCCAGACAATGGCCAGGCTAATTTTATTACCTGGCATGTTTATTCTCCTGCGCAGCTCTCAGTAATTCCTGGATGTTCTTGGTGATCAGCTCCGTCTTGCTGATTACGTCTTCTGTACATGGTAAAGTCGAGTCGCTCTCACCCTCAGAATGGTTTTCTGACAGCACTGTACTGTCGCCCAGCCACCCGCTCGCCCTCGAGAAATTACTTTGAATTGTCCTGTGGGAAAGTGGAACACATACAGTATATACAGTTAAAGTCAGAATTACCTGAATTAATAGCCCCGCATGTATACCCCCCCCCCCCCAATTTAGTTTCACTGAAAGATTTTTTCAACACATTTTTAAATATAATAGTTAATAACTAATTTCTAATAACTCATAATAATACAGTACATAATATTTGACTAGATATTTTTCAAGATACTAGTATTCAGCTTAAAGAGCCAATATTATAGGTTTTTGAAAATGACCTATGTAGTGTGACAGCTCAAAGTGAAATGAAATGTCCAGCTAGGGCTTAAATCTGAAAGTGCTCAATGTTTAAAACTATTGATTAATTTATAAAAGAGTCGACTCATAGTGCTTCAAATGAATCGTCTTGAGTCTTTAGCCATTTCGGTGTGACGTCTATATGAAACTTAAGCCCCACCCAATTGTTGCGCGCGCAAACCCGGGAAAATTGAAACCCCTGACCCCGCCCACAAAGACTGTAGCAAAGAAAAAGAGGAAGACAAGCACTGTAGCAGACACGGTTGAATCAAGTGGTGAAGACGCGGTGCTCAGCTGAATATTATTGGAAGTGTGAGGGGAAAGTTATTGTTATTTTCTCTAGAGAAGATGAAACTGAAGAGGTTGAGGTTTATTTTTGTTAAAATACCTCAGCATTATAGCGCAGCCTTGTGCTGTTCCCGTCATTTTTTTTTTGACGAATGCTTTTGTAATCTACACACTTACAACGGGTGATTCGTCAGCCGATTGTTAAAGGAAGGATCAGAAAAAACTATTGATGTATGTGACCTTGTCAGTACACAGCTCATTGATCAATTTCTTTCTCCATTTCACAAGTGTAAGTAAGTGTGATTAAAATGGTTGCCTCCTTGTTTTCTCCAGCTTCCAAATTATGTATTTAATTGTGTTTTCTTACTTGTAAGTGCTTGTACTGTATCTGGTTAACTCTTTATATTCTCATATCGCATCTAATGCACGTTGAAAACGTGACGCGTGATGCTTTGTTTACATATTTAAATGCGTTTGTGAGCTTGCGTTCCACTGCCGTTTGTCGTTGCTTTGGCCACCATCAGCCTACACATGTGCAGCGGTCAAGTGTCAGAATAGTTCAGCTTTTGCCATTGTGGATTAATACTGAATGTGTGTCATGGTTAAGAGTAGGGCAATATTGCTGGTGTTTTAAACACTGCTTTGGGGGGGGTTGGTTCGGGTGTGTGTCTGAATAACTCTGTTGAGACCAGGTACTGTGGTGTTAGTTAGTTAACTACTATAAAGCGGGTTTCGGGAGGCCGCTCCAACCGGATTCTATACCAAAGTTGGCGACCAAGGGGTTTCACAGACCGTACTAAAATGGGGGGAGGGGGGAGAAATTACAGGAGTTTTCCAGGATAAATAACAAAACAGGAGGGTGGTGGGAGATGGGTCTGAAATATGGGAGACTTCCGGGAAAAACAGGAGTGTTGGCAGGTATGCTCACACACACACACACACACACACACACACACACACACACACACACACACACACACACACACACACACACACACACACACACACACACACACACACACACACACACACACACACACACACACACACACACACACACAAACACACACAAACACACACACACACACACACTGACTACTTCAATATTGTTGAGAAGCCGTGCTGGGCATTTTACTCTGTCTTACGCTAAACGATGTCGACCAATCGCAGCAGGCTGTCTGTCATCAGTCCAATCAGCACAGATTAGCTTCGTGCTAATGAGGGGTTTGGGAACAAATTAATCGCTGAACGATTCATATGGGGTTATGGAGATAATAAGGTAAAAATAAATGCATATTATAAGAAAATGACAGTGTTTTTTGACATATCAGCCTGTTGTTGGAGACCCCCCAAAATTAAAATATGGCCCTTTTTAATGTATAATAGGGGCTCTTTTAGAGTAACATTTAAAGGCTTAACTAGGTTCATTATGCAAGTCATTGTATAATATTGGTTTGTTCTGTAGACAATCGAAAAAAAGGGGGCTAATAATATTGACCTTAAAATGGTTTAAAAATTAAAAACTGCTTTTACTCTAGCCAAAATAAATCAAGTAAGACTTTCTCCTGAAGAAAAAAAAACATTATAGGAAATTCCTTTCTCTGTTAAACCTAATTCGAGAAATATTTGATAAAGAAAAGAAAAAAATACTTCACAGGAGGGCTAATCATTGTGACTTCAACTGTATATATACTGATTTTCAATAATTCAGTATATTGTGATCATGAACATGCATGAATATTTTATCTTTAGTTATCATTAGTTAATGCCTAATGTATAAACATTGTATAAAAGTTGTATTAATTTTATTTAATGGAGTTAATAGCTAATAAAATCCAGCTCTATTTTCACTAGCTTTAACTATGATAAATGTGACTTGCTCTCACTGTTGATTATAATGCATTAACGTTTACTAATGAGACTGTATTGTAAAGTGTTATCTATTGTACTGTTTAGAATACCATCAAGTCATATTTAATACTTTTTAAGACCTTTTTAAGAACTTTGAAGAATGAAATTTCAGACTAATACAGAGCTAAAAGCTAAACATTTTATTTTTTCTAATGGCGCAGCTGGTCTAGCGGATAAGATTTGACCAATCAAAAAATAACCCAATTACTTATTTCTTAACTTCATATTTTAAATGTGTCTAACAAGTCTAATAAATAATTAAATAAACCAAATGTATGCACATGCAACAGTCTGTCCAGGTCAGTGTCCTCACCCTATATGCTCTACAAATACATGGAGAATTTTTGGTAATGGAAATGATCTGGTAAGGAAGCTAACTAAATGATATTGGTAATAAAGCTCCTATAATATTGGTTGTAAATACAGTTTTGTTAAATGTTTTGAGATGGATTGTTGATGATTGGATGAGTTTTTGCCTGATTGAGTAGCTTGACATGGACAGAGACATTTTAAGACCTGCGGACACCCTGATTTTATCATCCTTTTGGTATTTAATTTGTCTGAAACATTTTCTTTACTCTAAACATGCAGATACAATAAACCAATACACTAAGTACACTGTAAAAAACGCTCAAAATTCTTAAATTAAGAAGTATTTTCTAGACAAGCAAAAATATGATCTTGTTTTCAGAAATAATAGGGCAAAATTAAGTGAGTTTTTCCTTAAAATAAGCAAAATAATCTTGTTTTTCATTTTGACAAGTTTATTTAGCTCACCCCAATGGCAGATTATTTAACTTGTTTTAAGGAAAAACTAACTTAACTTGTTTGAAATTTTAATATTTCTTAAAACAAGACAATATTTTTGCTTGTCTAGAAAATGCTACTTGATTTAAGAATCATTCGATATTTGGACTAGAAACAAGACAAAAAAATCTAAGTGAGAAGAATAATCTCTTTTGCAGCTTAGTTCAGATTCTTATAATACTGTATATTGTAATAACAGCTTCCCCAATCAAATGGCAACAATGAAATTTAAAACTGGCAAAAGCAGAAAAAGAACTGCAAATACAAACCCAGATTCGTTCATCTCAGCATGGTTCAGTGTATTATCATAGTCACTTGCAGGCATGCCGCTCTGGCCGTCTAAACTGGATCCCTGTAACAGGAGTACAGTCATAATGAGAGGAAACAAAGGATGAAACCTGTTACTGGCAACGGTGCTTGCGCAAAGCCTGAAGACACAGCAAACCATCATGCTTTTGGTGTAGAATCAAAAAAACATCAGCATAACAGAGCTGTAAAGTAAAGCCAGAAACATACTCTGCACAGATGCTTGGCTAACTTATTATAAACACTTAACAGCTGCGGATTATCAAGTTATGAGTGTCACCTTATTTATCTTCCCGCTCATTATTATTCAGGTAGACAGCTATAAACAAAAGTTCACCCAAGAATAAAAACAAGACATTATTTAATTGCTGTGGTCTGGCTATAATGTTATGAACAATGTTTCTTTTCACACTACAAAATTGGGAATTTTGTCAGAGTGGTTTTCCAACAAACTGCACTGTCTTTTTTCCCTTTCTTTCTTTCTTTCTTTCTTTCTTTCTTTCTTTCTTTCTTTCTTTCTTTCTTTCTTTCTTATCTATTTTATCACAATTTAAAACAGGTTAATTATTTATATTATTTGTTGTTTTTATTTATATTATACTTATTGATTATTTATATTCTTTGTTGTTCTTCATCTCTTATGTTTATTGTGTGATCCATTTTAAACTTAAAAAAATTTATGTGAAGCATTTTGAATTAGCATTGTGTATGAAATGTGCTACAGTTAAAGTCATAATTATTAAACCCCCCTAAATTATTAGCCCCCGTTTATTTTTTCCCCAATTCCTGTTTAACAGAGAGTTTTTTCAACACATTTCTAATCATAATAGTTTTAATAACTCATTTCTAATAACTGATTTATTTTATCATTGCCATGATGACAGTAAATAATATTTGACTAGATATTTTTCAAGACACTTCTAGACAGCTCAAAGTGACATTTAAAGGCTTAAATAGGTTAATTAGGTTAGCTAGGCAAGTTATTGTATAATGATGGTTTGTTCTGTGGACTATCAGAAAAAATATAGCTTAAAGAGGCTAATAATTTTGACCTTAAAATGTTTTTTTTATTATTATTATTATTATTAAAAACTGCTTTTATTCTAAACAAATAAGACGTTCTCCAGAGGAAAAAATATTATCAGACATACTCTGAAAATTTTCTTGCTCCGTTAAACATAATTTGGGAAATATTTATAAAAGAAAAGAAAAAAAATCTGAGGGGGTTTAATAATTCTGGTTTCAGTATATAAATAAACTTGCCTTGCTTTCTAGCAAGCACAAGATCCAATGACCAACGCCATAATAATAAAAAAAAAATGATTACAGTTTGATTTATTACTTTCACCAAATCCCAAAATGCTTAAAATATGAAAGGCATTTCACATGGGTTTATTATGAGGGTGACATTTTGCATCTTACTATTTTTGTATCTCATAAAAAACCTAAATGCTGCTAAATAAATATAAAATAGGCAACATCAAAGTGGGTAAATGGTGGCTACATTTTCATTTAGAACCCTCCATTATTCATCTAAACCAGGGTGCCGAAACGTGTTCTTATAAAGGGCCAAAAACCAAACTTGACTGAGGGCTGTGGGCCAAAGCTAAATGTACCGAACTGTATGACATTAAATTTTTCCATGGGTAATTTCCTAATTTATTTGCTAATATTTAAAAATAACTAAAAAAAAATAAGTTGTTTTTGGCCATATATATTAATGGTGCAGTATTATTTTTAGCATTTTTAATGAACATATTACAGTAAACATAAGCAATCCCATTTATAGACCATTTTGAGGGATGTAAACAAAAACAATGGTCCCAACGTATTTCCTGTTTGACATTTTTTATTTCTATAGTTTAGAGAATCTAAAAAGGTCCGCATATTGATAATGTTATAATAGCTGTTTTAACATTAAGTTATGATTGAATTGCCTCACTAGTTATGAAATAGTTTTATAACAAGCAGGAAATGTTCACAGGCCCTTGACATCACCCCATTGAAATGATCTTTAACACAATGGAGTTCAATGCTGTATGCACTAGTAGAGCTCCTCATGCCTTTGCCTTGATTTGCTCGCGATGTCTTGTGCATCTGTCAACTGACAGTATTTACATTTTAAAAGTCTGATTTGTTTACAACATTTAAGTGAAACATTTAATTTTAGAACCACAAGTGTGAAACTTTACAATGACGGACGATGTCAAAGTCTTGCATCTAAAAGCATGTAGAGTATGTTTCAAGTCTGAGATATCAGAGAGCCAGTGACGGCCTCACACATCCAGGAGAGTGGTCAGTAATGTTAATGGCTGGAGTCTCTGCCTGTGCACGTGGCTTAAAGTTAGTAGTCCAGCTGAGGAACGTGTGTTTGTGCATAGGTTGAACAGATCTGAGGGTCATGCACTGAGTAAATAGTGGACAGAAAGAAGAGAAGCCCTTCCAGCAGCCTGTTCACTGAGCAGGTACTTCACCCTTTGGGTTATCTCATCCCAGGACCAGGACAGAGTTGAGGGGAACGTGGGAAGGGAGGAGAAGGCAGTCACCGAGGGACCCTTCCCAATCTAGAAAGGGTTCAGATTACGTTTTAAACGTCCAAAGGGATATAAAATGAGTATTAAAAAAAGAGAGAGGGGCTATCAAAGCATACCTGACGTGATGATTCATTGGATTACCAGTTGAGTTAAAACCAAAGGAAATGATAATGAAATGGGAGTGCTGGAGTTTGGTTTGTACTTACATTAGATGGCAGTGGCTGTAGAGTCAGGTTTGTGTCAGGGTGGACCGTCTCTCCTCTAGGGTGGTACTGCCTCAATCCTGATCCAGTCTCATACATGGACATGGCCCTACAGCCGCGAGGAGCTGCCCTGTGTGGGACGTCCTGCGGCCTTACCAAACTATTAGGAGTTTGCCATTTCAGATTGCTGTTCTCATTCTGAAGGGAGTTCAACTGAAACCGAAAACAGCAAGCAAGTTACTATAAGAAATAAAAATAACAAAAAATAATAATTATTAAATGAAGGGTTTGAAAGGAATGAGATAAAGACACCGATAGCACTGTCTGTCAGACGTAGCACAGTGCTCATTGAGTTTTATAGATGTGCTTGAATGTGCGTAATATGTTGGAGCACGTCTGATCATTTCTCGAAGTTTATTCCAGCAGCGGGTGGCGTAGTAGCTGAAGGTGGATTCACCTAATAGATGCTAAACAAGTGTGATCTGACCACTCACCTTGCTCTGCATGAGTCTCAGCTCCTCGCTAAGATGGCAGTTGACCTTGAGGAGCTGCTGGATCTTTGCTTCGGAGGCGTTGAGGGCAGTTTTGACCTCCATGAACTCCTGCACGGTGATGGGACTGTCTGACAAGTCTGAAGACTCAGAGCTCTGAGAGAAGAGATCATGGTTAGATTTGATCACACGGATATACATATTAAAAGTGGGTGTGCACGGTGCAAATTCTGATGGTTGGAAGATTGCGTGTCATGGAAAATTAATGTGAAAATCATTCAGACACAGTGTTACGATTTTATGACCTGGCAAATTCCGAAGCAAATATCATGAAATTTTGTGGACAGAGAAAGACGCCATTGGTTTGAGCATTTCTCTTTTTCATAACAGCTTTATTATAGTATAATAATAATAAAAATGTTTGCTACACAGTTGCCTGGGTCACCCCATGTGTTTGAATTATAAAGCTTAGTCCATCATAAATATCATCCCTTACACCACTTATCCATTTATTTCCTGCTTTTTTATAAGTTTCTTTATTAATATGGTAATGAGTTAAATTTTTATTTAATTGCAGTTTAATATTAGGTGTTTTTGTATCTTACAGAACCCAATGTTGGGGTCTAGGAGTAATAAAAAGTTGATATAATAAAGACTTATGTCTTTATTTATCACCACAAAATAATGCCGCAAATATTACCACAAATTTTTAGGCCGCAGAAATCTGAAAAAGTCCAATGAAATCTGGGACTGATAAATGCTTTCATTACATCTAGATTGGACTACTGTTTTGCCTTGTTTTCTGAACTTCCATCTAAAGCAGGGGTCTCAAACTCAATTTACCTGGGGGCCGCAGGAGGCAAAGTCTGGGTGAGGCTGGGCCGCATAAGGGATTTCACTAAAAAAAAGTCCTCAAATGACATTATTAACAGTTTTAATTATTTCTTCTGAACATGAAGTGTCCTGAACATTAATAGAACATTGAGTGAGGATTATGAACAGTTCTTCTGAACATGGCATCTTTTGCCTACTCCTTGCTGCCAGAGACTTGACAGCGCTTCTTCTCACAAATCTGAACCACATTTGGCTTTAGAGCGGAAGCAGTTGCGACCCTCAGTATGGCTTGGGGGAACTCACTCAAAACTTCCATTCCCTCACCCAGGCCCGTGCAGAGACCGTCCAAAGGGCATGTGCAGAGTGGATGCGCGCGTACTGAAGAGCGGTGTTATTGCGCGCGTACTGATCAGCTGTGTTGTCGCGCACGTACTCAAGGGCGGGACCGAAGGTTGTGCCGCGTCGCGGGGGCACTTTTGATCATTTTGGAAGGGCACTTTCTATCCAAGACTAAAAAGGGTATGTGCTCTGCACAAGTTGAGCCCTATGTGTGCACGTGCCTGCCCTCACCTGAAAAAAAGGCGTATATATGTATAAATAAAACACCCCCACCCCACTCCAGTCACATCAGTCTGTACCAGTCTGTATCTACCTATAATATATATAAGATGCAGGCTGTAGCTAGGTAGGTGGCAGGCTGCAGATAGGTAGCTAAGTGGCAGGCAGGGGCGGGAACAGCTTACCTTGGTTCTGGCCGGCGCGAGTCACAGCGTCTAACAAAGGGGCGGGGTGCGTGGTGACGTCACCGGCATCCCCGCCCCTTTGTTTAGACGGCGGGCGGGGAATGCCAGTGACCGATGTGTACGGATAGAATCAGCGGAGCGGGAAGCGCTCTCTCTCCCCGCTCCGCTGATTCTGTCAGTGTACAGCGGTCGGCGCGGGCCACAAAATATTGCACTGAGGGCCGCAAATGGCCTGCGGGCCGTGAGTTTGAGACCCCTGATCTAAATCTTTAAACAGGTTACGGTAGATTCAGAGCTTGAATGCTTACTCATACTTCTCCATAGGAACACATCACACCTGTGCTTTACAGTTACACTGGCTTGTGTACGGCCGCCTTTAGTAGAACTCCATGTACCTTGGTTCGCTCATCTTTTCCCGATGTTGGTTCTTGCTCTGTATCCTCATCGGATGCCACACTGTCATAATCAGGCTGGTCCAGCTCTGGACTTTCACTGCCACGACGGTTTCCAATGTCCTTCAGAATTAACTCCACATTATCTAGGATGAAATAAAAGGTGGACATTGAACTTTGTGCATTTTTCAGTTAAAGGAATAGTTCATCCTAAAATGTAGATTCTGTCATCATTTACGCGCTCTTCACTTGCTACTAATTCTTTATTAGTTTCTTTCTTCTGTTAAACACAAATTAATATAGTTTGAAGAAAGATGGAAACTTTTAACTGTTAACTTTTATGTCCCGTTTCCACTGAGTGGTACAGTACGGTTCAGTACGCTTTTATGGCCGTTTCCAATGTCAAAAGGTACCAAAAAGCTAAGCGTACTGTACTAATTTTTAGGTACCCTTTCCAAACTTGTGTGTGCGTCTAATTTGAAAATACAAACTTCTTGAGCCGATAAGGATAAGATGTGCATGATTATTGAAGTGCTTCTGACATGCGATCCTTTCAGAAATGGACAAACACCAGAGTAACTCGCAAAAAAAAAAACGAGAAGCCTGAAAAAACAAAAGAGCAAATGATTCTTTCAGCAACCTAAAACATGAACAAACTGCCATGCTAAACTATTATCATCACCTTTTGGACTATTATGAACTAGGAATGACGGAAATACTCTCTGAGGTTACATGTGCTGGTGAAGATTAAAGGTACAGATGAGAGATTGCACTGACTGTGGGCTTTATATTGCGGGTTGTTTTTAACTGAAATAAGGACTAAATGTATGTTGTGTGTAGTTTATCTGTAATAGGTAACATAATAGAGATGTATGTGTTCATATATGTTGCATTTATTTATTTATTTATTTTTTTATATAATTGCAGACGTTACAGTTACAGATGTTATTATTGATCTGATCTAATCAAATTATGTTGAAAGGTTAGTAATGAACAACAATACACAAGTATTTGTGTTTAAAGTAGTAAAAATAGTAAAAGAGTGAGTAGTGAGTAGTAAATATTGGCAGTGCAATTGTAGGTAAAGCACAAAGACAACCAAATGAAAGTTATTCAATGAGAATTAAACAGAAAGCACACATTATTATTGAAGATTGTTCCCATCCCTTATATCAAATTTCAGCTCTTGCCATAAAAAGACATTTCAGGCAACCTTAAGTAAAGAAAAATGTGTATCAAATGTCCTTTGTGCCGAGTGCCATTATAATTTTAAATACTGGGTTCTAATTATGTAAAGGTTTTTAAATAGATTTTTTAAAAATGTTTTTTAGTGTGCTATATGTGAAAACAATGAGTGTATTTTTGATAACTGTTTTTTTCTGTGATGTGTGTAATGTGAACGTTGATCTGTTTCTGTGGTGAAGCCAAAGATTAATTTCCACTCGTGGACAATAAAAGAAAGTAAAGTAAAAACGTAAAGCATCTGTTTTGTGTGAAGTGCTTCTCTGGACCTGCAGCTTTACTTTGACATTACCTCAAGCGAGAAGGACGTCGACTATAACTTTCTGTCATACACCAAGCCCACACGCCATACCATTGACACCCTTTGGGTAGTAGAAACGCAAGCCTGAAAAATGACTTGTACTGACCCATACCGTACCACTTAGCGAAAACGGCCTATTATAGTATTTGTTTTTCCTACTATGGACGTCAATGGTTAGAGTTTTTCAGCTTTTTTCTAAATATGTCCTTTGAAGGTTTAAAATCAATTATGGATAATTAAATTGTCATTTTTGGGTGAACTATTCCTTTAACAATAAGAGAGTAATCGAAGATGTACCTCACCTTTAACATTATCAGGAGAATTCCCCAGCTGACGCCGTTTGGCATCAGTTAATATGTCAATAACCAACGTCGCAAACTCATGTGCATTAAACCTGGCCAGCTTCTGACGTCCCTGCAACACAAATATCACAAACCTTTATTATTATCAAACCAATCCAACTGTTTTTAAAGGATATATTCAGGTATTGTTAGTGTACCTGATTCCTAGTGGAAGAATATTCAGGGTTGACAGGGAGGAAAGGAACCACCGTGGTGTCAGTTACCAAAGTACTGTGGTTCTGTGTTGCAAGCCAAACTACAACAGCAAAAATACGACTCCATTTAACATTGAAAAAATATATAAGAATCATAAGATGACAAAAGCATTTGACAGATCTATGCTTACCTGCATCTGTTTCTCTTCGGTCAACTTCATCGTAAACGTCCATGGCTAGCTCTTCAAACTGATGATTGCTGAGCTAAGAGCACCAAAAAAGGTCAACATAAAAATATGGGAAAATCTCCAGTGCCAAAAAGCTTAAATAAACATGCAAAAATCAGCTATCCATAATAAAAACAATAAGCTACTGTACAACTTACAGACTGAAGCTTCTTCTTTGCTGCTTTGGCCAGTTCTGACAAGTCAAGACCGCTGTTTGTAAGATCAAAAGAGCGGTTATCATCAGATCATAACTTGCTCCAGCAACACAAGCAAGTGCCAATCTCATACTTACACATTTCTTTTCCAAATAAAGGCAGCAAAGAAAACAAATTACGCAATTAAGCTTTTTTTATTGAATACAGATTAGTGGACACATATGAAACAAAAGCTTATCCTACCTGTCTGCGATTTGAGGAATTATGAAGTGCTGACCATTTTTATGATCTGAAAAAGAAAACGATTAGTTTCACAATCTCAAATCTTTAAGGTGCATGCTGTGTTTTGTAAACGAAGACATACTAATGACTGACCTGGCTTTCTTCCACACAGGTAGAACGCTAGTCTGTCTGTCAGCTCAAACTGGATCTCCACCAGTCTGTCTGCGAGGTCCTGGTGCCCGGCTTGCCTACAGTCGGACAGGATAGATAGAGTTTTTTTTCTACAAATCAATTTGCTGGTACTTGGGCTGGATTAGACCAAGATGGTGGCAAACTGTCTTAAAGGGATAGTTCAACAAATAAAATATACATTTCCTGTTAATTTACGCACCCACATCATTCAATTTGTATAGTTGAAGTCAGAATTATTAGCTCCCTTTGAATTTTTTTCTTCTTTTTTAAATATTTCCCAAATGATGTTTAAAAGAGCAAGGAAATTTCCACAGTATGTCTGATAATATTTTTTCTCCTGGATAAAGTCTGATTTGTTTTATTTCAGCTAGAATAAAAGCAGTTTTTAATCTTTTTAACACCATTTTAGGGACAAAATTATTAGTCCCTTTTTTCCCGATAGTCTACAGAACAAACCATCGTTATACAATAACTTGCCTAATTGCCCTAACCTGCCTAGTTAATCTAATAAACCTAGTTAAGCTTTTAAATGTCACGTTAAGCTGTATAGAAGTGCCTTGAAAAATATCTAGTAAAATAATATTTACTGTCATCATGACAAAGATAAAATTCATCAGTTATTAGAAATGAGTTAATAAAACTATTTTGATTAGAAATGTGTTGAAAAAATCTGCTCTCCATTAAACAAATTGTGGAAAAAATAAACAAGCAATCTAATAATTCAAGGGGGCTAATAATTCTGACTTCAACTGTAGGTGCCCTTCTTTCTTTAGCAGAACATTAAAGATTTTTGGTAACACTGTAGAATAACTATGCGCTATAACTAGTTTATAGTTCATAAATAAACAGTTAGTTAATGAGTTAACAATGACTTGTTAAATAAAAGTTAATAGTTTAATTATTAATAACTGTGCCTTATAGATAGCCAATGGATAACTTACAAGGTGTTAGCTAACAAGTTATAAACGGTTTAAGTGTATTTTAATGATTTATAACAATACCTTATAAATTAGTAATAGATCATGAACAAGCTGTTGGTAAATTACTTACTAAAGACTTGTTAAGTATCAGTTAACAGTTTATGTATGTTATTGGGGAGTTATTCTAAAGTTGCAACTATTCTTCATTTATTAACTTACTAAATGAGTAAACTTTAGAATAACGTCCCAATAACATGCATAAGCTGATAACTAACGCTTAACGAATATATTAATTCACACTTTACAGATCAGTGGTTTATAGTTTCTTTACCATCTAATAACATCAGTGAAACTTTTGTAGAACTTTTCTAATAAAAGAAATTTGTATTTATTTTGTTTTCATGTTTAGCACAAAAAGAGCCCAAACCTCATGGGTAGGCCCACACGGAATCTGTGCGCGCAGAATTCCGCAGATTTTCCGAAGAATTCCGCAGATTTCTGCCCTTCATTAATTTTGTTTATTTACTTGAGTAAATGTGTAAATCTGAATTTATTCAGTTTTTATTCAGTAATTTATTACTTTTTATTTCATATATTAAGGTTTTAGTTATGATACTCCGCTGAAATAATTCTGCAGAAATCCACAGATTTTTACCAAAACTCTCAGAAATAGCAAAAACAACCGCAGATTGCGTTTGGCCCTGCTCATGGGTTTGTATTCTGTTGTATACTGCTGTTCTGCCATGTGATGGCTCAGTATGCATGGTTCTATACATTAAACACAATGTTCAACATGTCATCTGTGGAGTTTCTTTGGAAAAATAAAGCACACAGAAAAGCCTATGAGTAGAACAAGGATGAGGTACAAACATTTTATATTTTAAATATCACATCAAATTTCTGTAGCTTGAACTTGTTCCATCCATTTGTTGTTCTACGAAGTTTCACTGGTATTAGTAGATGGTTAACAAACTATGAACAACTAATCTGTAAAGTGTGAATTAATATATTAGTTAAGTGTTAGTTATTAGCTTATATATGTTATTGGGACATTATTCTAAAGTTGCAACTATTCCTCACTTACTAACAGTTAATTTCCACCATGTGTACATTCAACATTTTAGCATTCCCAAGCGCCCCTTATTATGTGATCACTATGCACCTTTGCAACCAATACGCACCCCACACTGAGACACACACTTCTATCTGACTGTCAAAGTGAAACTATGAGAATTTTGACACAAAAGTGTGAACTTAGTGGAGACAAGTAAAGGTTTTGAGTATCATTAGAGTTGTGGTGGAATTTTCTTGACCTACCATAATTCTCTATATTATAATGAATATAGATCAGGCGTTCTCAAACTCGGATCTGGAGGGCGGTGTCCTGCAGATTTTAGCTCCAACTTGCCTCAACACATCTGCAAGTTTGTTTCTAGCAAGCCTAGTAAAAGCTTGATTAGCTGGCCTAGGTGTGTCTGATTGGGGTTGCAGTTTAAATCTGCAGGACACCAGACCTCCAGGACCGAAATCGAAATGCTATCAATTAAACCTAATATTGTTATCTTGTTTGTTGATGCGCTTACAAATTAATATCACAACTGCAATCATTATCATGCAGTGATATTTAGATAAACACCAGTTCAAGCATACTTCATCCTATGCTCATTCTAACCGCATTATTTTAGGCTTCATTGCCTAATGAATGCTTTTGGACTCAAAATCCTGCAGACTCTGACAGAACATAATATATTATTAATATGCATCTCCCTCACCTGGCGTAGTCAATAGGAGTCTTTCCAGAGCTGTCCGGTGCTCCGGGATCTGCTCCATACACAGTGAGCAGCTCGGCCTGGAGTAGCTGGCCCGCTTTAGCTGCCACATGTAGAGGAGTGTTTCCTTTCTCCTGAAGATGACAGAGAGCATTCGTAATTCAGTCAATGACAACACAGTTCAACTTTTTTCAACTTAATAATGGAACAACATCAATTTGTACAGCGACGCAAAACACATTAATAACACATTTGATCAAAGCAGATGCTAAAATGACTAGTTATGAGCAATATTTTAGAATCCTTTAGACACTTTTCTGACTTACTTTTGCTCACAAATCTGACAAATTTCATAATTGAGAGGAAAAAAAGTTATAATTGAGATTATTATTCAGATTTTCTTTAATTATTAATTTTTTTCTCTCCACAGAATTGACTAACAAATCTAATTTTGGCAGGATCATAGGTCAGACTAACCAATGCTCAGATTGATCTTTTTTTGAGCTTCAGTCTATAGTACCGTGCACACCGAGACGTTTTTTGCTCACGTTTTCCGTTGACGTTTAACGCCTCCTGATTATATAAAGGGCGTCAATGTGATGGTGCACACCAACGCGCAAAACGTCAGGCACAAAAGCGTAATTTAAAAAAACCGCCTCATGCTTGTTTTTTTGTTTTGACGCGCCGCGTCAAAACCTTCTCCACCAATCAGATTGGCATTTTTGTTCACATACACGGAGCTGCTGAAGTTGCAGTAAACAGCACTTGAAGGCGCTCAAGCGCAAAACTGTCAATGCGAGCACACATTGAAGAAGATGCCCAGAGGCGATATGAACATGGAGCTGCTTGTTGCACTTGTGAACAATCATTTTTTTCATCGCTAGAGCTGGAGCTGCTACTTGAACCATCCATGCTTGTCACCAGTAACTTTAACAACAAGCGTGTGAACTTCCTCTCTTTCTCTTCCTCCGTGTTATGAGCGGGTGTCAGAAGCTTAAAGTTTTGTTGCACTATCTAACGTCAAGGAGTGATTTTGCATACTTTTCTGCTTGACGCCAGTGAAAATCGCTTGGGTTTGAATGCGGAAAAACGTCTCGTAAAACTCTGACAATAAACGCAAACGAAAAGCGCCCCGGTGTGTACTTGCCTTTAGTATAGTTACTGTTTTATCCTTGTATGGCAGTAGACATTAGATGGCTGCTATATGAAGATTCGAAACGTTTATGATGATAATACATTTTTATTTAATGCCATGTCAGCAACAAAAGCTATTTTCAAGTCGAGAACATTTCATTAATAAATATACAATTAAAAACAGCAAACAAATTAATAAATATATTAGATACGATTTTTACGTTAATACATGATAAAATTCTACGATTTTCTAAAAGTTTATGAAGCTTTTGTTTTGAATCAGTGGTTCGTAGCGAATAATAAATTGGCATGGTAAATGTGACTTTATTATTTGATTACGGTTTTGAAACTTTTAAATTAATTCAATGTTTCTCCATTGAAGGGAGATCGGTGTAATACAAAGGTAGCTCGTTATTCGCAGGAGTTACGATCTAAAAATAACCCACAACGTAGTCAGCTTTATTTTTTACTATTATTAAAGATGTTTTAAGGCTGTAAAACCCCTCACTGCAAACTTAATACACTTTCCTCACACATGCATGACCATTTTCACACTTTTCTGTCTTTTTTAAACACTCTCAAAGTTCAAACCTTCATAGAAAAATAGGTCTAGAATTATAGAATGAAACCAAAGATCAAAACCATTTGATCTTCATTTATTTATTCTGTAATAGCGCCCTACAACCGCGTAACTTCTACCTTTAGCACAGGGCTGGCCAACCCTGTTCCTGGAGAGCCACATTCCTGCAGATTTCAGTTGCTAGTGCTACCCATATCAAACACACCTGCCTGTAATTATCACGTAGTGTTCAGGTCCTAATTAATTGGTTCAGGTGTGTTTGATATGGGTCGCAACTGAAATCGACAGGAAGGTGGCTTTCCAGGAACAGGGTTGGCCACCCCTGCTTTGGCATGTCCAGAAGTTCAACTTTTTGTGCGATGGTTAGCATCTTCCTCTGCCTTTTGGGTGCTACCGCATGTGCCTTTGACAGTGCAGACCGTTTTGTTGTATTGTCTTGTTTGAAGTTTTGAAAACCTATGCTTCTCCCATCACTAGTAGACATTACTAATATTTGGAAAAATTAAATATAATTAAGGTCTCTGAAACTTACTGGATGGAAAAAGTTGGCCTGAGCTCCCAACGACAACAGCCTTAGACACGTTTCCAAATTGCCAGTTCTCACACTAGAGTGAAGTTGCTAAAAACAAGAACAAATTTAGGATTTATTAAGTGGCTTTGGTCTGGACTTCTGAAGATCACATCAGACACAGATCTCGACTGAATCTCAGTTTCATGTCAAATGTTCAAGTCTAATCAACTGATTTGTGTCAAGTTCCATCCTTACCTTGCTGAGGTCTTTGGCAGTGACGCTGTCGTCTTCTCGACACGGCATGCGATGAACAAACGCCAACATTTGATATTTAGCCTTGATGAAATCTGTTTTGTTGGGGCTGAGAAAGAAGGCTCAAGTTAAAGTAAGGATGTTTATGTTAAAACATTCACTTTTCCTGCAAATGTCCTGATATACGGGACTCACTGCACTCTGTCCTGAGGATTGGCTTTGCGTTTTCCACTCATGATGGAAGACGGATCCAAGAGACTGTGTTCCCAGATTGAATTTGCTCCATTATTGTACAGAGACTTCACCATCTGTGGAAAAACAACCAAACACTTCTCCTCAATGCTCACTTTTAGACAGAATAAACACATCAAATGCTGCAATAAGGCTCTGACTTTTGCAAGACTTGAGAAGTGTCTAGGCGAATGTTGTGCAACTGACCAAGTATCTAAATTTAGCCCAAGGCTTTGTGCTTCAAAGTATGGCATGTTTAGTTCTTGATTCAGATACTGAATGTTAAATGAACACTTCTTTTTTTCTTCATTTAATTTTACAATTTAGTGTTGTCGTGATACTGGAATTCAGAACCAAAATGTTAAAACATCTATTTCCAGCTAGCTTTTGAGCGCTGTTGAGCACCTTTTTAAACACCACTGATTTGCCATTGTGTTCACAGGCTCAACAGAAAGGACTGTGATTGGCCAGGAATGTCATTGGTTCACTGAACTCACCACTGTTTACCAAGTACAACTAAAATGGAGCGTTTTAAAGTCGCGAAGATCAGCTGGTCTGTCTATGAGCTGACATATGAGCAATCTGCTGATGAATCGACTGAACTTCACGGCTTTGAAACGCTCCAGTGTCCCTGTATCTGTGGTTACACTCAGTAAACAGCGGTGAGTTCGGTGAACCGATGAACTTCACTGCCAATCACAGTCATTTCTGTTGAGCAGGTGAACAATAGCAAATTTAATAACGTGCTCAACGGCACTCAAATGTTAGCAGGAAATGGACGTTTTTTTATTTTTCAGAACCGATTGGTACCGAATTCCAGTATCGTGACAACCCTACTACAATTCAAAAGGATAGCTCACCCCAAAAATGAAAAATTTCTTACCATTCAGGGCTCAACGATAAGGACTGCCTGATGGCCTGGGGCCAGCTCGTGAGACGCTCGGGACAGTAGACAGGATCATTACTGGCCTGATTGGCTTACATCACTGAAGTTTAATTTGCCTGCGACTATTTGTCGTGCAAATACAGTCTTAGAATTGAGAAACAGTTTGGATTTTTAAGCCTTCAAATGCTACCTTCTCTGTGATGTCCTAAGCACTATATTACTTTTTGGTTCCTCTTATCTGATTGGATGTTGTGAGCACGTTATTTTTTTCCATAACAACCAGTACAGCGAAGAGACGGCAACTTCAAATGATGATGCTAAAAGAAAAGGTTTGCTTTTAACTTCTTTGAAGCACATTGCGAGGGTACACCACGACAAAAAAAAAAAAAAAAAAAAAAGAGATGATGTTTTGTACAGTTTGCCATCAGTTTGGCAGGTCAGCTACTTTTGTTTTGCAATAAAATACCTGCAAATTTTCCATACCGCTACTTTTGTTTGCATAACACTTTGAATTTTGCTCATTATAAATTAATTAACATTTTTATAATATTTAGATTCTAGATTCACAAAAATTTTTTTTTTAATTTGTGGCTAAGAAATAGCTATTAATTAATTTATTTTTTGGTTGGCCCAGTGAAAATATTGGCAGGGCAAGTAAAAATCTGAACCACTGGTCCGATCGGGCCATTAGAAAAAATCCTAAACGTTAAATCCTGCCATTTACTCAACTTATATGACTTTCTTTTTTCTAAGCAAGACAAAGCAAGATATTTTAAAGAAATGAGCCATCGACATCTGTTGTAGGATCTACAAATACTCTGGAAATAGAAGGCTTCTGCTTTCCAACATTTTTCAGAGTATAATCCTTTGTATTCAACAGAAGAAAGAAACTCAAACAGGGTTTGGAACAAGTGGAGGATGAGTAAATGATGGCTGAATGAACATTTTTGAGTGAACTATCCCTTTGGAGTTTTTTTTTTTAATTGAGGAACAAAAATTTATTAAATAAAAAATATGAAAATAAAATAAAAACAATATAATGTGCCCTAAGCGGTTATTCAGACAGCACGAATGTTTACATTAAAAAATGTATGTAGCACAATAGAAAAAAATACTAATATGGGGGGCTTGGTTTTATTATGATAGGATGGCATACAATGAGGTGAGGATGGGATTGAGAAAAGTTGGGACAACCTCGGGACACTATATGTTGGGCACAATGAGCACTAGGCTATCAGCACTAACTACTGTATGTAAATAATACACAAGCACTGATGTTATATTTTTAGACAATTTTAATCATCTTAATTTAGAGATATTGAGATATAAGAATTATTGAAAAACTCTTATTTCTGAAATTAGATCTGATTTATTTAGGACCAGGGGCGTAACTTCCACTGAGTACCCACCTCTCTAAACCTTGTTTGTGTCAGGAAAAAAATTAATTAACTGCAGTGAATTAATGTTTGTGTGAAGGTGTTTCCCAGTGCTGGGTTACAGTTGGAAGGGCATCCGCTGCTAAAACATATGCCAGTGTAATTGGTGGTTCATTCCACTGTTGTGACCCCAGATGAATCAGGGAATATGCCGAAGAATAGTGAGTGAATGCATTAAGCTGCAACTTATATTACAAAATAGTGATTCAGCACACAGTCATTAAGTTTCTTTCTTTCCTATTTCACATTTTCAATTAGCGAGTTAGACTAAGTTAGTTGGATTGTTCAATCTGAGAAAGCTTGTTTAACCTGCCTATTTTTTCCCCAATTTCCCGACTAGTCTGCCTACTTCTCAAACCAAAGTTACACAAGACTCTCATAGTTTGCACTATGATTGACCACTTCATGCATGCTGCACACTCAGAGCAGAACTTCCTTTAACCAGAGGGTTAATAAGGAGAATGATGCATGTCACAACTATGTTTTGCACTAGTCATGCTTTAAAAATATAAACCTTGAATCATTCTGAAGTATAAAAACACTACAGAGTGTGATGCTTGCTTCAAATAAACAATAAAGAAAAACAGAAAACAATAGGAAGCTGATAAAGGAAACTACACAGACCACCGCAGTCTATTTCTGCGTAAGGAACTGAGACACAATGCTCTGCTTCCTTGTAATGAAGCTCAGGAAATATGCATTGCAAAGTGGCTCTCCATCAGAGCGGCTCTTTACCTGTAGCTGAGAGGACGGCCAGGAGGTTTGGGTCAAATGTCGGACCTGAGAGCTGTGTCGACCCAGACCTCGGTGAATACTGCAGCATTCATCACAGATCAGAACACCGCGGTTGATCGAGGCCCAGCGGGAATCTGAGGAAGAGAAAGAAGTTGTGAAAATGTGTTGCACAACGCAGCTACAAATTCCCCTCAAAAGACAAACCCTGACATCTCGTTTTTTAGTTGTTGTTCTTCCTTGTACACCAAACGGCATTTGGCATTTATGAGAGTTGGCGCAAAGTGTTTGACAAATGCATTGGCAGACGTCGAGACATCATATTATATCATGTATATATATATGCTTCACACACATAGCCTACTTGGGCAAAAGTATATTAACGGCCGCCCAAGTGTATTTAGTGACACCTTTTTTTTGGGGGGGGGGGGGGACTTTCATAATTTCAAAATTCCGTCCGGCCTGAGTTCTCGTAAAATATCAACTTCACTTTCTAACGCCCAATTCACACGAGGCGTCAGCGTCAACGCTTCCCATTCACTTTGAATGGGTGAAGTCAGGCGTTGCCGAACTGCATTGTGGATCCGTCGGTGACACTTCAGAGGCTTTGCCAAACTTTTTAAGCATGGAAGCGTCAGCCAATCGGATCGCTGTATGCAAATACACCAGCTAGACAGTGGCCTATTGCTGACTGGATTTCATTGGCCGACGCTGCTTTGACGATCACGTTAGCCTATAGGGGTGGGCAAACTCGGTCCTGGAGGGCCAGTGTCCTGCAAAGTTTAGCTCCAACTCTAATCAAAAACACCTGAACATGCCAATCAGTGTCTTCAAGATCACTAGAAATCTATAAGCAGGTGTGTTTGATTAGAGTTGGAGTTAAACTGTGCAGGACACCGGCCCTCCAGGACCGAGTTTGCCCATCCCTGCGTTAGCCCCAACTTGAGACAAGCCTTCAGTCAAGCGTTGACGCTGAAGCCCTGTGTGAATGTGAAGCTCGTATGCATTTTTGTATAACCTCTTTACTTAAGCATTCTTTCACCTGGCTTCGCAACTGACTGTTTAATATTCTGACGGTATGATAACCTTGGACAAAAGTATCACGGTTTCGCGGTATTGTGATTTTTGCTCTAATATATGCTCTTTTTAAATGTCTGGGTAAAAAACATAAAGATTCTCCCTTTTGAACACAATAGATTTTATTTTGAGAAACATTTAAAATATTTTGGAACTGGAAACATGACGGGCTAAATTAATTATTGACTTCTGCTGTCTTCATTTGTTTTGAAAACAGATTTTTGTTACAATTTAAAACAGCATCTTTGGATATATTTTCTGCTGAAGATACCGTTGTCCTAAAAAAATATTTTTTAAAAAATTATTAATTTTTTTTTCATTATACAAATACCTTAGAAACTGTTTTGTAGGAAATGTTGACTGTTTTAAAACCTTGACTTTTACAAACCCTGGTATACCTAGAAAACAGTTCTAACACGCACAGTCACGAGAGAAACATTACATAATTGTCTTTTTTAATCTAAGACCAAATGACTGTTCTAAACAGGCTGCAAAATGCATGTACAGCATTAGTAAAGGTTAATCAAGGCATTTGCCTTATTTTAAAAAAAAATCTACAGCTTTAAATAACTTTGAATCTATTCTGACATGTACCTGAATTTCTGTATGTAAATTGAAAATTGAAGTCGTCATCCTAAATTTGATTCTATTCAAAAAAATTTTAAAAATTATATATATTTAAAATTGTATATTATTTTGTATAATTTTGAACATTTTATGCAGATGCAATCCCCTACAAAATCATCCAATCGATGTTATACCGTAAATCAAGTCATCAGGTGAAATTATGGTCACATAATCGCAATATAGATCACAGAAAAAACAAATATTGCAATGTCAGTTTTTTCCAATATTTGTGCTTAACAGAAGAAAGAAACTCTTACAGGTTTAATACCACATGAGGGAGAATAAATGAGGTAAATTTAATTTATAACCTTTAAAACTCTCCTCTTTAAATGGAGTCTTTTAATATCATCAAATTATTCTTGGTATATCACATTTTGGTATCCAAGTAAGTGACATTTTAAAGAATTCTGTAAATTATGGTAAAAATTTATGTATTTTGGCAAAAAAATAAAATAAAACACTTTTACATATTTTTTTACACTGATAATAGGACTCTGTTGTACACATTTTCATATTTTAGATCAATCTTAAAAACTGCATGACAACATGATGATAACTATGATCATTAAAGCATTGCTGCTGTTATAAAAGCAACTGACACACACAACTTTTATGAATTTCTTTCTTCTTTTGGACACAAAAGAAGATTTTTCAGAAGAATATTGTGGGGAAAGAGCAGCCATGATGTTTATAGTTGGAACCAAACAAACTAAAAATCAAGGGCTGCAGCTTTCCGTACATTGACAATGTCATGGTAAAAACGAGACAATACATACTGTTCACTAAAATAAAATTAACAAATAAATATCTATTTCCCTATAGTGACTAAAATACCACTAAAATGCTACTAATGTGAATTGCACAAGGAATATATTTTATTCCTATATTTTTATGTTATATACTATGAAATCAATGGCTGTTGGCTTCCAACACTCTTGAATATACCCAAGAAACATAGGAAACAAACTAATGACATAATTTTAGGGTGAACAAGCCCTTAAACATGCTATTTGTGTAACCCAGATGTTTACAGATAATGCTTCATACATTGACATTTTCACAGTAAAGACATGACAGTACATACGGTTTAGTTACTAAAAAAAATTAAGGAATAAATATCTATATTCCTATACTGACAAAAAATACCACTGTAATGCTACTACTGTGAATTGCACGAGTAATATATTGGTCATCATCATATTTTATTGTTATTACATGATAACAAATGGGCTAACATGTTTTGTTTCATTACCATTACAGCTAATTATATTTTTGTAAGGGTTTGGTTCTTCTTTTGACTAAGATAATGGGCTGGATAATGTACAAATTATTAGATGAATCTGAATATAAAATGAGTTGTTACACCGGAGGGCCTGGACATCATCACCATCACCATCATCAGTTAGCGGGTAACGTTATTTTCCATTGGGAATATGAGGACTGTCATTTAACCGCGTTCTGTTCCACACAAATCTCCGTGTAAATACAGTGTTTTCGTGATAATAACGCGAGAATAAACCCAGGTAAATAGAGTTCATAAGCATCACTCTGAATAAAAGCCAGCTGGACCTCATCAGCTCTGTGTGTTTGCGTTTGTTTGCTGATTGTTTTGTTAGTCTTACCGGGCGCGCTGCAGTCTGCGCAGATCTCTCGGTTACGCGCTCTGATGGACATCGTGCAGCTGCGTTAAACGATCATCAAAAACATTAATGTGATTAACGCATTAATGAGCGAGAGATACAGATGTTGGGAGGACGTGTTTCCCTTGTTCCTCCTTTTTTTCTGACGCCTTTTTTGACTTCCTGGAAGAGGAGGAGATCGCAGTCAGGGGCGGGTTTTCTTCAGCACGACACACCGCGCTACTGCAGGCGAGCGACGCGAAGCGAACGCGTTTGTTAACAGCTGACCAATAGCGGGCTGAATATTAGCGTCGCGCAGTGTTAGCGTTTTCTTAAAGGGGCAGTTTACCCTAAATTCGATGTTAATCTACTCACCCTCAGGCCCTTCCTAAACTAAACGACTTTCTTGTATCAGGGGAGTATTAATGAAGATTATTTGAGCAGAAATTGAGTTAAAGAAATAAATATAAAGTAAAATGACAACACCAGTCGTGGGTGACACTATCGCCTCACAGCAAGAAGGTTGTTGGTTCGATTTCTGTGTGGAGTTTATATGTTCTCCCGTGTTGGCGTGGGTTTTATCCAGGTGCTACGGTTTCCCCCAAAGACATGTTGTATAGGTGAATTGAATAAACTATGTGAAGTTTATTTATAAACTAATTTTGAGAGGATCCCGTGCTTATGATTGCTTGCGGCTGGTCCTGCATTATTCAATTTATGATTCACCCATCAGACAAGTCCCATATAACAGCCATCTTCGTTTTCAAGAATCCCCTCTTCCACTCCTACTCCTAAATAAAGGTACGAGAGCTGTCACTGGGGTGGTACCTTTTCAAAAGGTACACATTTATACTTAAACATTATTCATCAAACCAGAGACTTTTATACATTCCAAAGTCAAGGCTGAAATGCAGGGGTGACCGGGCTTTCGCAGTAGCTGGTCCTACTTTGTGGAACGCTCTGCCCCTCTGTATTAGGTCTATATCATCGCTGTCTGTTTTTAAATCTAGGTTGAAAACTTACCTTTTTGATTTGCCATTTTATTAGTAAGAATTGTTTGTTTTTAGCTATAATAACTATTAGTGAGATTTGGTTGTTTTTACCTAAATTAACTATTTGTGAGAATTGTTTGTTTTAGCTATAATTTTATACCTGTTCTTTGTGATTTATTGTTCAGCACATTGGTCAACCTTTGGTTGTGTTTAATAGTGCTATATAAATAAAATTGACATTGACATTGACATCGACTTAAGGGTCCATATAGGTACCTCAAAAGTATACATTAGTACCTAAAAATTTAAGAGGAACACTTTTGTACTTTTTTGGTACTATTATGTACCCTTGTGGTTTTTTATGGACCTTTAAGGTACAGATTTGTAACTTTTGAAAAGGTACCACCCCAGTGACAGCTCACCTACCTTTATTTCTGAGAGTGTAGCAGTATTATATTTTCAAAGATACTATGAAGCATGCTGGGATGTGTTTTTATTATTATTATTTTGAGTGATTTTTGTTTGTTGTGCTGCTTACTAATTAATACAGGACTGATACAGTTGTTAAACCTTAAATGATTGGCACAATGTCACTTTAATAAACTGTTTAAAATTAATATTTGCACATAAGATATGGGGGAAAATAAAAAAAAATATTTTTTTTGGGGGGGGGGGGGGGCATCCTTTTATTCCAATAATGGCCTCATATCTAGGCATAACAATTTCATTTTTACAAAATGCTTTGTTTTACACATAGTTTCATCATCTGTTTTCATCAATAAGCAACCGCTCTTTGTTCTGCTCAACACTTATGTGGGTCATCTCCTGAGTCTCGGAGGAATTATACTCAGAAAAGATGAGATTAATTGGAGCATTTAAGATAAAGAGCCCTAGAGATGTCCAAACAGAGCATGTCTATAAATGAGCAATTACTGCGGTTTAGCTTTTACTTCGGAATTCCTCTTCTAGATCGTAAATTGCATGTTAATATATACAGTTAGAATTATTACTAGAGGTTAGAATTATTAGCCCCCCCTTTGAACTTTCTTTTCTTTTTAAAATATTTCCTAAATGATGTTTAACAGAGCAAGGACATTTTCACAGTATGTCTGATAATATTTTTTCTTCTGTGAAAGTCTTATTTGTTTAATTTCAGCTACAATAAATAGAAGTGTATTTTTTAACACTATTTTAAGGTCAATATTATTAGCCCCTTTAAGCTATATTTTTTTTGATAGTCTACAGAACAAACCATCATTATACTGTAACTAATGACCCTAACCTGCCCAGTTAACCTAGTTAAGCCTTTAAATGTCACTTTAAGCTGTATAGAAGTGTCTTGAAGAACATCTAGTCTAATATGATTTACTGTCATCATGGCAAAGATAAAATAAATCAGTTATTAGAAATGAGTTATTAAAACTATTATGATTAGAAATGTGTTGAAAAAATCTGCTCTCTGTTAAGCAGAAATTGGGGAAAAATAAACAGGGGGCTAATGATTCAGGGGGGCTAATAATTCTGACTTCAACTTGTAACTCAATGCAGGGACAATCATATGGTCATAAATCCAACCATTGTGTTAAAAAATGTCATTTAAATTTAATTGAAAAAAAAAAAAAAAAACTTTACGTTTGACTCAATGTTAAAGTCCAATTGAAATATTTACATTGCTAACTCACATTTGGAGTGGTGCTCCTTCTGGCGTCCAGAGCAACTGCATATTAATACCCTCTCTACTGTTAGTTAGCGTTTCAGAGAATGATGCACAAAAGATAGCCCCGCCCCTACTCAATATTCCATTTCAGTTAGAAGTACATCAACATACCAAACATAAGGGCCAGTTCACACTGTTGCTGACTTTAAGTTATGGCAACCCAGTATTTTGTTGAAGGTATTAATTAAAATAGAGTAAGGCAGTTCCACTTACTGGTATGACATCTCAAATGCACATTTAATTCAGGTAAATGTGAAAACTTTGACATTGGTCTTATTGTTAAAGGGGACCTATTGGGGTTTAAACCGTTTTGCGGCAGCAGGTGCCAAGTAAGCCAGTGGCAACAATAGCCCCTTTCACACATACAGACCTTTCCAGAAAATTACCAGCAATTTTCCAGAAACGTGTCTATGTGTGAACAGACCCTTTTTGAAAATACCGGTTCCGGCTATTTTCTGGCAAAAGAAGTCCACAATGAGCCTGGGTTGAAATAGGTCTCCTTTAAAGGCTATTATGTAGAGTAATGCTAATCAATTGTACTTGCAGTATCTGCTAACAGCGACAAGAGGACAATAAACACTAATTCAAGCATTCAAATAATGAAACAACAAAATTATTTTCTTCTCCCACACTATAATGTATGATTATTATCAATTATGATGAAGGTAATAACACGAGCCAGACAATTTAAATATCTTTTGAATACTTTTATTCATTCCGCCTATTTCTTAACAACACAAATGTAGTTATATAGATATTTTTTGTTTTCTGAAAGTTTCTCATGGATCCCACAGAGCGGCCAGCGCATGTAGGATGTGCACTGTACACAACATATACATACATTGCAGTATACTCGTGTGTGTGTGTGTGTGTGTGTGTGTGTGTGTGTGTTTATATATATACTTTTTATAAAGAAATTTTAAATAGTTTAATAAAAAACCTTTGCAATTACATTACATATTTCCAAAATAAAAATAACCCGGTTTGTGTTTTGCTCTTGTTATTGACATGACATATGAACTTCCCATCCGTCTGCACCATAACAGTCACGGCCAATGAAAATCAACCCTCCTGTTTGAAGAACTCTTCTGAAAATAACACTTTAAAAACCAGCAGATCATGACCAAATGAAGGATCAGCTAGTAAATACATTCTCACAGACGGTTCATGTGGAGCACTTACACACTCTACTTGAACACACATTGCACATTTAATACTGCATATCAGTTTAATGACTATGAAGATGAAGAGTCCTGGATTTGTGTTTAGGAACGCAATCGTGACTCAATCCGTACAGTAAGTGACTCGCTTGTATATAAACAGAGCACGTTTTTGTCATCTAACATTTCCCGGTTCCCCCTTTTGGACTGTTGCTTAAGCACAAGAACAAAAAAATGATCATCCAAGATCCAGATTGAACAGACTTGTAGTGATCACAATAGACCATATTTCATTCATCATTCACATGTTGGTTTGATGCCAGATGCTGAAACTGAATTTAAAGTAATGTACGTTGATTCCAGAATCAACATCAATAAGAAACTAACACTGAGTTGAAAATTAAGTGGAAGATTCCAGAAAGCCTTCAAATTTACAAATCATAATCGTCATTAGATGGGTTTCTCTAGTCATGAGAGGGCATTTGCATGAGAAGAACCTATTTGGAAATCTGATATATGGCCGTGTGTGAACATATTTGAAGTTGTAGCTAATATATTTAACTACATATGTACATATTTGCAATTCCAATAGTTGAAAAAAAAAAAGTAAACGGACATTTGAATTTTTTTTTTTTTTTTTTATGTATGCTATATATGTACGGTGTAGAATTTAAATCAAACTACGCTAATCAACACATACATAAAACACATACAGTTGAAGTCAGAATTATTAGCACCCTTATTAGCACACTGTGGGAAATTTTTTTCTTCTTTTTTAAATATTTCCCAAATGATGTTAAACAGATTCAGGAAATTTTCACAGTATGTCTGATAATATTTTTTCTTCTGGAGAAAGTCTTATTTGTTTTATTTCGACTAGAATAAAAGCAGCTATTTTATTTTTTTATATACCATTTTAAGTTCAAAATTATCAGCCCCTTTAAGCAATTTTTTTGATTGTCCACAGAACAAACCATTGTTATACAATAACTTGCCTAATTCCCCTAACCTGCCTAGTTAACCTAATTAAGCCTTTAAATGTCACTTTAAGCTGCATAGAAGTGTCTTGAAAAATATCTAGTCAAATATTATTTACTGTCATCATGGCAAAGATTAAATAAATCAGTTATTAGAAATGAGTTATTAAAACTATTATGTTTAGAAAAGTGTTGAAAAAATATGCTCTCTGTTAAGCAGAAATTAGGGGGGAAAATACACAGTGGGCTAATAATTCAGAAGGGCTAATAATTTTAACTTTAACTGAGTACATTAAGACCTTTTTAGGATCTTTTTAATGGACAAAGTCAATGCAAATTTGCAATCGAAGGCGAATTACGAATGAGGTGAAATAAGTGTCGCATTTGCCGCAAACTCACTGTGTTAACCAATTAGAGAAGAGAAAACTGCGTCCAAGCTGATGTCATGAGGTAAAAACTCTGGTTTTGGTGGCCACTCGATCACACTGTTACTCAAGTTTCTGTAAATCTTCACCCTGGCCCTTTTGTTTGAGAAAGTTTCAGTTTCAATTAGCTGATACTGCATTTTTGTGTTGACGAATCATTAAATTACATAAAAAAAAACTGTTCTGAAAATACTGTGTTCATGTCCTAAGACCTTTTAAGACCTGCGGAAACCCTAATTTTGCATATATGACATATAGTTTATATTTGTGAAATCCAAACATGAACTTACATTCATTTACTCATTCATTCATTTTCCTTCGGCTTAGTCTCTATTTCACAGATTGCCAGGTCGGAATGAACCGCCAACTATTCCAGCATATGCTTTACACAGCGAATGTTCTTCCAGCCACAACCTAGTACTGGAAAACACCCATACACACTCATTTACACCCACTCATACACTTTACAATTTCGTTCATCCAATTGGGTAGGCTAAATTGTCTGTAGTGTATGAGTGTGTGTGGATGTTTCCCAGAGATGGGTTGCGGCTGGAAGGGCATCCGCTGCGTAAAAACGTGATGGATAAGTTGGCAGTTCATTTCGCTGTGGCGACTCCGGATTAATAAAGTGACTAAGCCGACAAGAAAATGAATGAATGAATGAATGAATGAATGTAGCTCTGTGGTCCTGCGAGACACATTTCATTCGTCCGTATGTTCACACATGTAGCGGAATGAGAATAATGCTTGTGTTGATTTGTAATTTGCCATATATCAGATTTCTCAGCCTGATCTCATGAGGAAACGTAACTATTTTACGTTTTGTCAGTTTGGTGGCTAATTCGTTTGAGTTTGTACGAGTGAACTGAAAATGTACGATTTAAAAAAGGAGGTGTGGCACCAAACCCCACCCCTAAATCCAACCTCCATTGGGGGATGAGCAAATTGTACTAAATTGTACAAATGAGATATTATAAATTCATATGAATCAGCCACTAAATAAAAAGTTATGAATTGGTGTGAGATATATATATATATATATATATATATATATATATAAATATATATAAAACACAACATTGCATCTGGCATCTCAAGATGTTACAGCTAATTTGACCTTTTTCATGAGGCTGAACATTTATTACGCCGACAAATATTCTGATCACTTTTTCTTTGTAAATTCAAGCATAACCTGGATTGTTCACAGTCTAAACACACAAACAAACAAACAAACAAACATAAACAACTGCTGATCTCATAACAATCAATTCCACGTTCGACTCTTTCTTAAATAACATGAGCCGTGTGCATTTCTCACCTGTCCAGCAGCTGGTTTCAGCATCAAAACACAAAGACAACATACAACATGGAAAACAAAAAAAGTGAACGGCTTTTAAATCAAAGCTTGGCAATGTGAAGTGGTTTGCAGCCCGCAGGGTATAACTGACCCCTGAGGGAAAACAAAAACACATTCTTGTTACAATAAGTCATTCACAAATAAATAGATGCTGTTGGCTGGGGTTGACCGCTGATAGACCACAACCATTACCGCGTGAGAGGATTGGTTGACCACAGGCTTGATGGACGCATCCCAATTTCCATACTATTAGCGTTAGCAGAGCGCTGGTGTATTTTTGTGGGAAGTTAGCATCACCAAGTTTTCTTAACAAAAACCCAGTGAATTTTCTATAGGCTTTTTGATTATGACAGATGATAAGATTGCTAATGTGATTTAAATAAATAAATAAACAACTTACATGAAGCATAAAAGCAGCAGCCTAAAGTAAAGAGCTAAAGATTGGCCATAAACAAACTACACACAGTTCTGTGTAGTACAATTTAGCCACTTATTAGTAACTACCCAAAAAAAATAAAGATTTTAATATTCATTCATTCATATGCCTTCGGCTTAGTCTCTTATTTATCAGGGGTCACCACAGTGGAATGAACCGCCAACTATTCCAGCATATGTTTTACACAGCGGATGCTCTTCCAGCCGCAACCCAGTACCGGGAAACACCCATACACACTCACATTTACACAAACACTCATACACTTCCGTCAATTTAGTTTACTCAATTCCCCTATAGTGCATGTCTTTGGACTGTGGGTGAAACCAGAGCACCCGGAGGAAACCCACGAATACACTGGGAGAACATTCAAACTCCACACAGAAATGCCTACTGACCCCGCTGGGACTAGAACCAGCAACCTTCTTGCTGTGAGGCAACAGTGCTAACCACTGAGCCACCGCCGGCTTTAATATAGTTACGATAAATATATTAATATGTTAAGCTTGTGTTAAGCACAAAAAATATGTCTGGCTTAGACTAAACACCCATTTTAAAAAGGCCACAGATTTTGAGATGATGAAACTCGCTCTATAAGAATAAATTAGCACACTATTAGTTGAGTCAATGTTGCTGTGTTAAGCTGAGAGCACCACAGCATTTCAGAGAAATCAACTTTTTTAGGGCCAGGACACACCAAGCCAATGGTTGGCCATTAGGCTTCATCTGTCCAGCTAGTTTTGTTAAGTTTAGCTAGTTTTGTTGTTTGTAGTTAAAGCTAGCTGGCTACGATAGGACTATCCTGGTAAAATACAGGATATATAAATGCATTAAGGCTGATTTATACTTCTGTGTCTTTGCAAATGATTTAGCACTGGGAGTGTGAGGTATTTCCCTTGTACAGTCAAACCGATCTGCTTCTACTTTGTTTTAAATTTAACAAATTACTTTGACTTCTTCATAATCACAGATAATTTAGAAACTTGTTTGAGTTTATTACGTCTGAGAGATGACTGCAAATTCACTACACATCTATACTGATACATTCACACTACAAGCGACTCACAGCAGCAAAGCGACAAGCAGAGAACAGAGTGAGCTACTTCCCGCGTCCTCCGTCTACACAAGCGACAACGACCATTGGGGACCAGGTGGGCGTGGGGAGCGACGCAACAAAGTTGAGAATCATTCAGCTTTATGCAAATGTACGGCGGCTTTGAGCGACAGCCATTTGGAGCACCAGTGGAGCTCACGTGATCCTCTCTCTGCTCATTTAGAGGCTTGTTGTATTCGTGCTGTATAGATGCAGCCCTGCGTTTGCAGCAGATCGCCACCCAGAGCGATCGGCAGCTACCAAGTCACTGCTAGTCTTAATGAGGCATAAAACGTTGCACGTCAGTTATATGCAAATTGACGTATGATGTAATCTGGCAACATTTAGCGACTTTTCTGACAGAGCTTAGCGCCTTTTCATTGAAATTAGTTGGCATCACTGGTGTTTACAAGTGTCGAGTCTCATGAAGGAGCTCCGGATGGAAACTTTTGTTTTGTGTTTACAGCATGATTAAAGTTGTTGCACGTCCGCTGGTTCCTGCCTCAGAATGAGCAAGTTTTAGCTACCTGTACATTAAGGTAGCGTTCAGAAAAAACTAACACCTGAGAAAAAACTCAACACAGAGGAACACCTACTCCCAGCTAGGTTTTGGAAGTGTTATTGCAGAGCAACACAAACAGCATGCAGAAGTATATATGCACAACTATGTGCAAAACATGCACTGTGGGTCACGCCGATGACTTGACGCAGAAATATAAACCAGGCTTTAGCATGCTCTGAAAGGCTGCGTGCTCAAAATGGAGTATTCATGTCTTAAACTATAGTTTATAAGTATGTACTTATTTATTTGCATAGTAGTATGGAAACTAGAATGCGGCCAAGCTGCTCAGTAGACGCTTCTACCATCACACTTCAGTAACTCTGGCTCTTTTACCACTCCGAATCAACCAATCAGAGGAAGTACTTCCTCCGAAGAGCGGAGGATAAACCAGTTGCATATAGTTTGATGCACCATGGCGCAAGCTATCAAGGATCTAGCCTCGATTCTCCATGGAAGCCTGTTACAAATTAACTCTGGCAACAAATATAGCTCTACATAGAAATCATATAGTTAATATCATTCAATTTCACTTTTTTATAAATAAATATGTATATGTCCACGTAACACTTGTTGATAGCGACTTCATCTTTTCTTTATGTGGTCCCAGACTCCAAAAGGTTTAAAAAAACAAAACAAAAAAAGGGATGCTTAGGAGTTCCAACATCCTCTCGAGTTTTCCAAGTGTTTAAACCAGAGAGTCTGTGTCCGTTTTGCAGAGACAGTTCAATAGTTTTGGTTTGTTGTTGTTGTTTGTTTAGCCCTGGGTGAAAAGACGAGATTTTCACAATTGCGGGACTCAGATTGCGTTCCTTCGCTTTTCGGCTCTCTCATCGCACTGATTATTCTGGAGGATCCAGAAAGTGAGGACGTTCAGTGTGTGACGTCAGAACCGTTGACTTACCGAGCCCCGTCTGCCCGGCTCAGCTCATCTGAACGTGTACATGTAGATTTGCTGACCCGGGATTCTGTTCGTCAGTGATAGTGACTTCTTCTTTCTTCACTGTCTGAATCATAGTCTCTCAACCCGATACCTTTCTGCAGCTTCATTAGAGACTCCCTCATCTGCAAACACACAGACACATCTTTAAAATGCTGTAGGGATTGCGGATCTGAAAGGTTTAATTCTCACACATATGACTTGCTTGGTTTGGGACTTGTGGAGATACACATCGATGGATTTACTCTTCAGTGTTTGGACTTTGAGCAGTGAAAATCAAACCACACAGAACTCTGAAAACTCTGAAAACTGAACTTCCAATTTCAGTTTCAATTTACTAGAGCTTCTATGTTAAGCTGCTTTAACACAATCTACATCAGAGATGCCCAAAGTAGGGCCCGCGGGCCGAAGTTGGCCCATGGTGATCTTTAATTTGGCCCACCATTCCATCTGAAAAGAGAGGAAGATTGATAGGGAGGTGAATAAGGCAAACGTTTTTGACAAAGATTGTCGTTTCAAATTTAACGTAACCTTTTGTTTCTTCGTTTTAGTGCTGAGCTACAAAAAAGCCAACTGAAATTAAATGATTCAATTAAATACTGTAAATGAATCAGACTTAAAATGTAAAAACTGTCTCTTGACAGATGCACAAAACATCTGCGAGCAAGCAAAAGTAAGCTCGACTAGTGTAGTGTATTCTAGTGTAGATGTAGTAGTAGTAGTAGTAGTAATAGTAGTAGTAGTAGTAGTAGTAGCAGTCGTCAGTGGTGTAATAGTATCAAAAGTAGTACATGTTGTCAATGTGATAAAAATGAAACTGCAGTAGTAATAGTAGCAGTCATTGTAGTAGTAGTAGTGATTGAAGTAGTAGTTGTGGTTGTTGCAGTAGTAGTTGTAGTATTTGTAGTAATAGACATCAGTGGTGTAATAGCATCAGAGTTAGTAGATGTAGATGTAGTAGTAGTAGTAGCAGTAGCAGTAGTAGTAGCAGTCGTCAGTGGTGTAGTAGTATCAAAAGTAGTACATGTTGTCAATGTGATAAAAATGATACTGCAGTAGTAATAGTAGCAGTCATTGTAGTAGTAGTAGTGATTGAAGTAGTAGATGTTGTTGTTGTAGTAGTTGTAGTAGTATCTGTAATAGTAGACCTCATTTGTTGTAGTAGCATTAGAATTAGTAGATGTAGTAGTAGTAGTAGTTAAAGTAGTAGTTGTAGTAGTAGCAGCAGCAGTAGTAGTAGTAGCAGTCGTCAGTGGTGTAGTAGTAACAAAAGTAGTACATGTTGTCAATGTGATAAAAATGATACTGCAGTAGTAATAGTAGCAGTCATTGTAGTAGTAGTGATTGAAGTAGTAGATGTTGTTGTTGTAGTAGTTGTAGTAGTATCTGTAATAGTAGACCTCATTTGTATTAGTAGCATTAGAATTAGTAGATGTAGTAGTAGTAGTAGTAGCAGCAGCAGTAGTAGCAGTCGTCAGTGGTGTAGTAGTATCCAAAGTAGTACATGTTGTCAATGTGATAAAAATGATACTGCAGTAGTAATAGTAGCAGTCATTGTAGTAGTAGTAGTAGTAGTAGTAGTGATTAAAGTAGTAGTTGTGGTTGTTGCAGTAGTAGTTGTAGTATCTGTGGTAATAGACGTCATTGGTGTAATAGCATCAGAGTTAGTAGATGTAGTAGTAGTAGTAGTTAAAGTAGTAGTAGTAGTAGTAGCAGTAGTAGTAGCAGTCGTAAGTGGTGTAGTAGTATCAAAAGTAGTACATGTTGTCAATGTGATAAAAATGATACGGCAGTAGTAATAGTAGCAGTCATTGTAGTAGTAGTAGTGATTGAAGTAGTAGATGTGGTTGTTGTAGTAGTAGTTGTAGTAGTATCTGTAATAGTAGACCTCATTGGTGTAGCAGCATCAGAATTAGTAGATGTAGTAGTAGTAGAAGTAGTAATAGTAGTAGTAGTAGTAGTAGTAGTAGTAGTAGTCAGTGGTGTAGTAGTATCAAAAGTAGTACATGTTGTCAATGTAGATGTTGTAGTAGCAGTCTGTTGCTATAATAGTATCAGTGGTAGTAGTGGTAGATGTTGTTGTAGTAGTATCAGTTGTAGTAGATGTAGCAGCATCAGTAGAAGTAGTCATTGAAGTATTATCAGTAGTAGTAGACATCTGTAGTAGTCGTCATTGTGCACATCTGCCAGTATCTGACTGTATTGTTGTTTGTTTTTGTTGTTGTTTTGATTTCTTTGTATGTAATTTCATTTTGTGTACTCCTTGCATACTCTTAAAAATTGACACTGCATTAGCCAATATAGTTAAAGCAATATTAGAAAGTTATTTTTAAATATTACAGAATAAATTAGAAAATTACCCATGGCAAAGTTAATATGTACGGTTTATTATATATTCGGCCCACAGCCCTCAATCAAGATTGCTTTTGGCTCTTTGGGAAAAAGTTTGAGCACCGCTGATTTACATTGTCAAAGCACTATAGAAATAAAGATGAAAATAACTTTTTGTAATGTCTTGCGTCCTTTCGCTAGTTTTAGTTGCTCAAACTATGCCATTTCAACAAGATGTGATGTAAATTAAAGATCATTTATTACACCATTCTGTGCATTTTCTTTGAAAGTGGAATGCTGTTTTTGCCAGAAGAGGGCAGTATAGCTCATGTCTCTCTCATGCATGTCAGCAAAAACAAACTGAACTGCTTGTGTTTACAAAAAAAGCCCTGTGGAGTGACTTTGTAACATTGCAGAATTTTTTATGTATAAGCAAGTTTCATTGAGTGCTCAGCATAATTAAGTACACCCCATTTTAAAAATGAATATTTTGATCTATTTCTCAGTGAATATAGCCAATGTATTTTGGTGCATTTAAACAAAACAGATTTATTAAACAGATATATTTATGAAAATAATATTTTAGTCACCTGAAATATTTAGAAATTAAATTAAATTCAAGCAAAATATTGCAAAGAAACAATTACAATATACAAAATTTCAACAAAATTGTTACATTTTTTTTGCTTCTCTTTTCTCTTTATTAAATTTGTAATTAATATTTTCTATAACATTTAAATTTGTACTAGTTTTTGGAGCGTTATCGTAAGTTATTTTACTCCAGATCTGGCTTCAGTACTGACTAATCTAACGTGCAGTTGAAGTCAGAATTATTAGCCCCCCTGAATTATTCACCACCCTGTTTATTTTTTCCCCCAATTTATGTTTAACAGAGAGCAAATATTTGTTTTGCCGGCTCCACCGGCATGATATATATGATCTTAATATTATTTTGCAGTGTGTGCTGTGGCGCGGTTTTCATATACGCACGTTTAAGATTTGAGGTAATAACATCGCCATGACGGTCAAAGAAATCAAAACATTCTTTTCACCCTAACGCAATTTAATCGGACACTAAAGGCTAATGAACTTAAATCTTATATTTGCTTTTTGCAGCCTAGGGCTATACTTCTCACCGTGTATCTTTTCTAAAACATACAGTAAAGTGTAAAAACATGTTTATTACTAAGAAAACTAAAACAAAATAATATTTTAATTGAACACATCACATAAGGTAAACATACAGAACCGTCTATCTAGTACTGTGAAAAGGCGAAGCTGAAAATCAATGGTTAAAGCACCACCCAGCGGTCAAAAGCTGCTAGCGCACCAACTACCGCCGCCGCTGCAGTATGAACAGCGGCAAAGGGAACAAATTAAAGTAGTGACATCTGTATGCTGAGCACTTTATGTTTAGAATCCATTTTGGGTGAACTAACCTCTAAAACACAATATACATGTCATTAACTTAGTGTTTTATGTAACATGTTTTATAGCTGTCGTTGGTCTTACCTCATCTAATAACAGCACAGATGACTTGATTATTTCCCTCCATTTTTCCAGCTCGCTTTCATGGTAACGCTGCTGAGATTCCAAAAGCTGAGCCCATTCAATCTGTGTTTGTGGAAGTTTACTGCAAAACGCACACACAATGAGAGAAAAACACTTCTTACATGATAATCATTTAGGTTCATACAGCAAGTATATATATACAATATACAACAGTTCTGTCTGGTTCTTTAATCTGATTGGCTGATAGCTGTGCAATATTTTGCCAGTAACATCACACAAAGGCCTCTTCACCCTTAACCTCTGTGTATTACTCCACCAACATACAGCCAGCAACAAGCATAGAGATGCTACAGTTTGACAAATGTTATTGCTGTTAGACAACAAAATGTACTTTTAGGGCTTTTTTAGTCAAGAATGTAGTTGTTAGATTGCAACTTTGCAGTTTATTAGAATAATGCCGATTATAAATATTTATAACTTCTGAGAGAGCTTGATGGTGGCCATTAGCCTGCCATACTGTAGTAGATCAAAGATGGTTGACGTCGTCTATCCACAAGATGGCGCCAGGACCGCATAAAAAGTTCTTGCTTAGATTAAAACTGTTGTGTGTTTTCTTGAGCGCAAAACTGAAAAACGGAAGCATCGTGATTTTTAAGGTGGACCGTATAGAGTCAATAACAAGCTATGAATAAGAGGCTGGATTCAGCCTCATCCCTCCTTATCGCAAACTCAACAGCAGTCTGGTAGTGATTGCTTTGCTTTTTTTGAGGTTAATTATTGTGATATTGTAACGGTCGCTTAATGTTTGATATGCATTGTGTATACATGTCATGTTCCCTTTATAAGAGGACTTCTTCTCTGGTTGTTTTACCTTTGACATGTAAGCACGCATGTATGGGAGCTCAGTTCAGTTCAGCGAGCTCAGAGAAAAAATGTGATGGTCACTATATCGCTGTATCATTCTTTTATTTCAATGATGTAACATTTCATTTTGCGACAGAGGTTTGAATGTCTTTTTCTTTTCTTTTTGCCAACTCATTGTCGTTGACTGACTTGTGTGTAGTTGACAGCACATGGGAGAAACACATGAAGGCCAATAGGAAGAGCAAAACAGTTTGTGTCTCTTTTTTTGTCCCTTAAAGTCTTCGGGTAAACGCTGGGACACCTGGCACCGGTCACAATACCGACGGCAACAGAGAAATACTGTAGACTGTAATAGACTGTAGGGAGATATCTCTGTAGGCGGATGGCATTTCATGTCACCTTCAGCCTTATAATCTTAAAATGTGAACAAAATCAGCTGTTTTGTCATCACTTTAGACCAGAGGTGGCCAACCCTGGTCCTGGAGAGCCACCTTCCTGCAGATTTCAGTTGCAACCCATATCAAACACACCTGCCTGTAATTATCACGTGGCGTTCCGGTCCTAATTAATTGGTTCAGGTGTGTTTAATATGGGTAGCAACTGAAATCTGCAGGAAGGTGGCTCTCCAGGAACAGGGTTGGCCACCCCTGCTTTAAACATTACGCTATAGCGAATTATTCAAACACTAGCTCTAAAGTGACGTTGGTGAATTTGTAACGGCTTATACTGTTTTGACATCAGCTGCTGATGTGAATGAATAGTGGAAGAAAGTAGTTCCTAATAAAAAAGGGTTTTAGACTCTCCGTGTTTTAACTACTTTTTTATATACAAGATTTTGCCGTCTAACTGTTGTATAATCTCAATATCACACTCGTAGCACTCCTCCCACCAGTGCCAATTTACAGCCATATCGCACTGCTACTCATGTGATATTGCTCATACATATATACACAGTTGAAGAAACAATTATTAGCCCCCCTGAATTAATAGCCCCCCTGTTTTTTTCCCCTAATTTCTGTTTAACGAAGAAAAGATTTTATCAATACATTTCTAATAAATGATTTATTTTATCTTTGCCACAATGACAGTAAATAATATTTGACTAGATATTTTTCAAGACACTTCTATACAACTTAAAGTGACATTTAAAGGCATAACTAGGTTAATTGGGTTAACTAGGGAGGTTAGGGTAATTAGACAAGTTATTGTATAATCATGGTTTGTTCTGGAGACTACCGGAAGAAAAATTTGCTTAAAGGGGCTAATAATTTTAACCTTAAAATGGTTTTTAAAAAATAAAACCGCTTTTATTCTAGCCAAAATAAAGCAAATAAGACCTTCTCCAGAAGAAAAAAATATTATCAGACATACTACAAAGGGGGCTAATAATTATATATATATATATATATATATATATATATATATATATATATATATATATATATATATAGTTGTATATATAGTTGTATATATAGTAGTATATATATATATATATATTTTTAACACCATTATAAGATCAAATGTATTAGCCCCTTAAAGCTATATATTTTTTCTTGATAGTCGACCGAACAAACCATCATTCGTACAATATTTTTTTTTTTACATTTTAAAATTTCTATCCTCACATTTATTTTCATAAAAATAACAAAAAATAACAGTAGTTACCTTTCATGAGACCTGAGACCCTGCCAGGAGGCCAAACTCTGAGCCGTGTATTCCAGCATCCATAACTTATAAAACAGCATCAAGTTCAAAAAGACCAGCAGCACCAGACTGAGGAACAGAAGAAGAAGAACATCTCAGATCATGAGCTCCTCTATATCAGTGGTATCAAATAGAGCAGTGCACACACTGCACTGATGAAAACATTCAATACCTTACACAAATCCTGCAGGATGCAATGAAAACAGAAGAGAGAAAAGACATGAAGGCAAAGAGCAACACATTGTAATGAATTCCTGCTGACCAACAGTAGCTATGTTTCCATTCAAAGATGCAAATTAGATTTATACATCGAATGTTGCATAAAATGTTTGTAAATAAGGCAGCTTTTCTATATAGCATAGATGGAACATGAAGAAAGAACATTATGTAGAAATGCTGAAGCAACATCTCAATAGATCATTCAGGAGATTAAAACTTGGCCACAAATGGGTCTTCCAGACATACCATGACCCTAAGCATACTGCCTAATTAGCTAAAATGTGCTTTAAGGACAACAGAGTGAATGTTTTGGAGTGGCCATCACAAAGCCCTGAGCTCAATCCTATAGAAAATGTGTGGGCAGAGTTGAAAAAGCTTGTGCGAGCAAGACAAATCTGACTCATTTACACCAACTCTGTGAGGAGGAATGGGTCAAAATTCCTTCAAACTATTGTGAGAAGCTTGTGGAAAGATACCCAAAACATTTAACCAAAGATATACAGTTTAAAAGCAAAGCCAAGAAAATACCAAGGAAATGTTTGTAAACTTTTTAATGTCTAAAAATTAATAAAGGGCGAGGCAGTGGCGCAGTAGGTAGTGCTGTCGCCTCACAGCAAGAAGGTCGCTGGGTTGCTGGTTCGAACCTCGGCTCAGTTGGCGTTTCTGTGTGGAGTTTGCATGTTCTCCGGTACAGGTGAATTGGGTAGGCTAAATTGTCCGAAGTGTATGAGTGTGAATGTGTGTGTGGATGTTTCCCAGAGATGGGCCGGAAGGGCATCCTCTGTGTAAAAACTTGCTGGATAAGTTGGCGGTTCATTCCGTTGTGGCGACCCCGGATTAATAAAGGGACTAAGCCGACAAGAAAATGAATGAATGAATGAAATTAATTTAAAAAAAATTATCCAAAATTATCCAAAATTATCTCATTATTCTGGTATTTAGCAAATATAAATAATTTAGGTAATGCTAATGGACCTAACGGGTCAACTGTACATGATACAAATGATCTACATTTAAACAGCTATGTAATAAAATTATTTTGATTAGTTTTGTTGTTATGTTTGTATGTGTATCACATATACATTATAAATATATAAAATACACACACAAATATTACCTTAAAACAAACTTTTATTTTGGATGTGATTACTTACTAAATAATATTTGCCAAGCACTACTAATAATAACTACTTAATAGGAGTGATTGGGATTATAAATACGCACACAGAGCTGATGATGAGCAGGAGTTTGGAAACGCTGTAGAGAGCCAGGCCTTCAGACGCGTGGTCTGGCATGTGTCTGGTCTGTGTGGATCCTGCAACAGCATGAACATTATAAACACAGACAAAACACTTTCTAGAATATCAATCACATTAGGAATAATCTGAAATGTGCTCTGGATCTAATCCTAAAAGTTTCTTAAATTACAATAAACATCAAGACAAGGAAAAACATGAGCATTTCACACGTTGCTGGTTTTAAATACTCCCTGCATCATATAATGGTGTATGTTTTATATAATGTGTAAGATCAGTTGTCCATCAGCGTACCTGCCACATGTTTGATGCGCTGGATGACGCTCTTCTCATCCTCAGGTGTGGTGACTGGGCTGAGGGCCTCGTCCATGTGCTGCGGCCTCATGTGCGTCAGGGGCCGCTTCCTCCGCCTCACTGTAGCTGTGCGTAATGCTTTGGATTTGGGAGATTGTTCAGATAGCACCAGCTGTACCTTATTCAGCTCCAGCTCTACGCACACACAGAAACCAACATACAAACTCTTTATCTGGTTTCAGCACTGATTCATTCATTTTCTTTTTGGCTTAAACCCTTTATTAATCTGGGGTCGCCACAGCGGAATGAACCGCCAACTTATCTAGCACGTTTTACGCAGATTCCAGCTGCAACCCATCTCTGGGAAAGATCCATACACACTTATTTACACACATACACTACGGACAATTTAGCCTAACCAATTCCCCTTTAGCGCATGTCTTTGGACTGTGGGGGAAACCGGAGCACTCGGAGGAAACCGGAGCAAATGCAGGGAGAACATGCAAAATCCACACAGAAATGCCAACTGACCCAGCCGAGACTCGAACCAACAACCTTCTTGCTGTGAGGCAACAGCACTACCTATTGTGTCACTGCGTTGCCTGCTTTCAGCAGTTTATTATAATTTTTTAATGACTTTCGCTATCATTTTTATACATGCTTTTATCTTTTATTGTGTACAGGATATTCTGAAATGAATATTTAAGGTCTAAAATTTATATATGAATTTAATTTCTTTTTTGGCTGCCTTTAATCGACTTGGTTTAGCTGCTCAGATTAAAAATAATGCATGTTGATTGAACCTAATTAGGGTTAAGTCTAAGTGTTCCCTGATGATTACAAGATTTGACATCACTTTTTCTGTTTGGATAAATTACTGCCTGTTTGGATTTTTTATTTATTTTTTTGTCATATTTGATCCTTGATACAGAGCAAAGCAAAACTCTTATTTGTTTTATTTCGGCTAGAATAAAAGCAGTTTTATTATGTTTAGAAATGTGTTGAAAAAAATCTGATCTCCGTTAAACATAAATTGGGGGAAAAAATAAACAAAGGGGCTAATAGTTCTGATTTCAATTGTATATATACAGTTCAACAGTATATACAGTTGAAGTCAGAATTATTAGCCCCCCTGAATTATTGGACCGCTTGTTTATTTTTTCCCCAGTTTCTGTTTAACGGAGAGAAGATTTTTTTCAACACATTTCTAAACAAAAATTTTTATAACTAATCTCTAATAATGGATTTATTTTATCTTTGCCATGATGACAGTAAATAATATTTTACTAGACATTTTTCAAGAAACTTCTATACAGCTTAAAGTAACATTTAAAGGCTTTACTAGGTTAATTAGGTTAACTAGGCAGGTTAGGGTAATTAGGCAAGTTATTGTATAACGATGGTTTGTTCTGTAGACTATCCAAAAAATATATTGCTTAAAGAGGCTAATAATATTGACCTTAAAATGGTGTTTAAAAAATTAAAAACTACTTTTATTCTAGCCAAAACAATACAAATAAGACTTTTTTCAGAAGACAAAATATTATCAGACATACTGTGAAAATTTCCTTGCTCTGTCAAACATCATTTGGAAAATATTTAAAAAAGAAGAAAAAAATCGAAGGGGGCTAATAATTCTGACTTCAACTGGGTATATATATATAAAAAAAATATGCTATACAAGTTGGCGAATCATTATGTGGTGGTGGCAACCCCTGATTAATAAAGAGACTAAGCCAAAAAGAAAATGAATAAATGAAACTATATCCATGTAATTGATCTGCCAAAACTTACCTAAATACCTAAAATATTCATCCAGACCACTCCAGAAGTTTCTCTCAATGAAGCCCTTGACTAATCCCCATGGCTGCTTCCTGTAGCGCAGTTCAGCTGACACTCTTTAGGTTCATTTCAAGAAAAAAGGGCATTTTGTTACTTGTACAGGCAATAAAAGATTATCTCATAAAAATAGGTTTTAAAGGGGAGCTAATATGCCCCTTTTTACAAGATGTAAAATAAGTCTCTGATGTCCCTAGAGTGCGTGTTTGGGGTTTAGCTCAAAATACTCTACTGCCCCTTATAGGCTTTGATCCTAATCGTGCCATTTTGGTGACTGTCTCTTTAAATTAAAATAATATTGTGCTCCCAGACCTCTTATCAAAAGATACCTGTGTCAGCATAGTGGTAGATTCGAAAAATAAAAAAAGCCAACATCCTATGCTAATGACGAAGAGATCATCACTAGTGGGCGGGGCTTTCCCTCTCTAATGACACAAAGGGAGAATGTCAATTAAAGTGTTTCTGCAAACTGTTTTTATCACAACTAAAAACTCAACTATTTAGTTTCCACTTCCCTTCCTAATCCGCAATTGCCTCTCTGGTTCTACCGTTAACTGTATTACAAAATAAAAAAAATAAAAAAAAATTACTTATGTTTTGCTTCTTACACTTTACATAGCAGAAACTTGCCTACAGCACTTATTCATTGTTGCTCTTGTAGTTGTGTAAATTGCTTCCTTGTCCTTATTTGTAAGTTCCTTTTTTATAAAAGCGTCTGCTAAATGACTAAATATAAATGTAAGTGTGACTACAAAAAACACAATTAATAAATACCATTTGAAGCTGGTTATGTTGACTGTTGCCACACAACTGTGTTTAAACCAAGCATCAACCTCCCTCTCTCCCTCGTGTAGCTAATACAAAAGTAACTGAAACTGCAATTCATCGAAATTCTGGTAGTCCTGGCCTCATAATAGAGCATATTTCTATTGAGCCCACTGTTAAAATGGCCAACTTTGCAGGAAAAAAAGGTGCTTACAGCACATGGATGTACCTGGTACAAAGAACCATTTTGGTGTATATAGCTAATATTACCCTTCATGACAACTGTGAGGGGGTTATTTTTTTAAAACTCATCCGTTTTGTTTATATTACGTTTTATTAAGTCTGCATAATTAAGGGCGTGGTTACTTGAGTGACAGTTAGGTCTCGCTGGTCGCCATTACTTCACCCCAGCTAATTCCGGCTGATTGGCCGCTGAACTTGGCATATATATCATATGTTTGTGTTGTTTTATGTGGCTTTACACAGTCAGTTCCCCTTTTGGAATTATTTCTTACAATTATCAGATGATTTGGCATGCTGTGTGCACTTAATTGTGCTCACAAACCGTTCACAAGGCCTCCGTTTCCCAGGTGAGTGAAATTATATACCATCTCTTATATACCATTTCTTATATACTTATATACCATATATATATAAATGTATGTTTTATTTATGATAATTTATCATTGATATTTTTCTTTAGACCTGTAATGCACTCCACAATCTGAAACATTGATTAGCTGTAGGTAAACTGAATGCGTTGTCATACAGTGTTGTGCCTGGATTTCATCAATAGCCTTGCATTTACTAACACAAACTACATTTTAAGTGTTGGGTAGTAATTTGCGTTTTCCTCCTGTAGAAAAATGTCTTAAGAACAATGTTTAGTAGCTCAATGTATTACAGTGTATTTGTTTTTTAAAGACTAAACACTTAATTTATATAGTATACAACCAAGCACATGTGATCAGTACACAAACGAGTCGCAGGAAATAAAGTATTTATCGTTTCTACCAACGAAAAGCCTGTCTAAGCAAAATGCTAGCAGGCGTCTGTAGCTCCGCTCACGCTTCGCCTCTTTACCCTTATTCAGTTACCCCCAGTTGGTGCAATGATGCACTAACAAATTGCAGCCGTTTGGCCACGCCCACTTTTAGATTAATTTGCGCTCTTCAGAAACCTATGGGTGACGTCAAGGATACTACGTACATATGTTTTACAGTCTATGGTTTAAACCCCTTATAAAATTGATTTTTGCATAATAGGTCCCCTTTAATGATGTTTACCAGATTAAAACAGAGTCCAGGCTTTACCTCAGGCGGCACTTGTTCCTTGCGACTCTAGTGAGCATGTAGCGGTTGAGTGTGTAAAAATAGTCATGATAGGGGACATCGTGAGCAATGACCTCAGCGTCAATGATGTAGCACTCGCTCACTTGACTGGCCTTGTGCAAAGTCTGAAAAAAAAAAAAACGCTCAAGTAAGTACAGCTTTTCATAGGATTGTGATAAAGACAAAAACTGCTCTTAACACATGTCCTGTATGCTCTGTTAGCTCATCGATCTCTTCTTTTGAGTTCACCTGCGTCTCTGTCACTGTGGCCGTCTTTGGGGCCAGTGGGTTGGAGAGGGAGATGGTGTACATGATCTCTCTGGTCTGATTACCGGTGTCCTCTTTCCTCCATGGGTGATAGACCACATCTGCACAGACAGACATGAATATGGTACATTAAATAATAGCTGAACTGATATAGAGCAACAAATATAATGTATATAATGTATAATGTATAGAATGATAGAACAATAGAAAATACAATGGAACGACAAAATAATGGAACAAATGGATGGATGGATAAATGGAAGCAGGGATGGACGGATGGATGGATGGAACAGCTAATTAGAATGATTGATAGATAGATAAAATGAAAGAACAATTAATAGAATGAAAAAACAATTGATGGATGGATGGATGGATGGATGGATGGATGGATGGATGGATGGATGGATGGATGGATGGATGGATGGATGGATGGATGGATGGACAGATGGATGAATGGAACATATAACAGAACATTAGATAGAGTGATGGATGGATGGATGGATGAAACAAATAAATAGAACGACAGGTAGAACGAATTATGGATGGAAAATATGTAGAGTAAAAGATGGATGGATGGATAAATAGAATGATGGATAGAATGATGGATGGATGGAACATAAGTAGAATGATAGATAGAGTGAAAGATGGATGGATGGATAAATGGAACAGATAAATAGAATGATATAAAGACTGATGGATGGATGGAACATAAGTAGAATGATAGATGGAATGAAAGATGGATCGATGGATAGAACAGATAAATAGAATGATAGATAGAATGATGGATGGATGGATGGATGGATAGACAGAAAGATAGATGGATGGATGGATGGATGGATGGATGGATGGATGGATGGATGGATGGATGGATGGATGGATGGATGGATAGATAGATAGATAGATAGATAGATAGATAGATAGATAGATAGATAGATAGATAGATAGATAGATAGATAGATAGATAGATAGATAGATAGATAGATAGATAGATAGATAGATAGATAGATAGATAGATAGATAACCTGAGAAGCGTCTCTGCTCCAGAAACTCCCTCATGAACTGTGATTCAGTGAACAGGATGTCGTGCAGTTTATCCACACTGAACTTATACACTTCATTAATGTACAGTTTCCCATTCAGATCTTCCTGGAAGGCCTGAACTTCCCCTGCTGAGAAGACACACAATCACACAAACACACACGCACGGACACACAAAATCAGAAGAGCCATGTGTCAGAGCACCTGTGGTTAGTGGTGGAAAGAGTACAGAAAAATCATACTCAAGTAAAAGTAACATTACTTGCCTAAAAAAAAGTTCAAGTACAGTAAACGTATCTGTTGTAGATATTACTCAAAGTATGAGTGAAAAGTGGCCCTATCAAAAGTACTCAAGAGTAGTGTAATTTGTGGATGTGTGTAAACGTAACATTCTGTAGTGGATTTAGTTATTGCCCAGCATGCACACAACGTTGTAAGGCGCTTATATTAGGTTAGATTTAGGATGTGACATCAGGTGACTAAATTTCAATGTCTAGCCAGCGTCTAAGGACAACGTTATTCCGATGTCCAATAACAACGTCAAATAATGTTGATATTTGGTTTATTTTAGGTTGTGTTAGAAAGTGACTCAAATTCAATGTCGAGCCAACATCTTAAACCAACGTCATACTGACGTCAAATACTGACATTTATTTGTCAGGTATGGTAACCAAAATCCAACGTCTGATAGACGTCATAGTGGTAACATCCACACAACATCAAGCAGTATCATCTTAAGATGTTGATATTTGGTTGGACGTTTTCTAATCTCCATAGACAAGAAAAAATAAAGCAGTGACTGCAGGTTGAAGGAAAGTAGTGGAGTAAAAGTACAGATACAGCACAAAAAATGTACTTAAGGGGAAGTAAAAGTACACATTTTAAAACTACTTAGTAAATTACAATTCCTGAGAAAAACTACTCAATTACAGTCGTTTGAGTATTTGGAATTTGTAATTTCACACCACTGCCTGTGGTACAGTATATCTACAAATGGGTTAGCTCAGTTAAAGGAGAACACACTCACTGACTCACCCTCATCGTGTGTTTCTGAGGAGTCGCTGAGTTCAGTGGGAAGATCCTCATTATCATTAAAATCAAGCGAGGGTGAGGGGGCGGGGACATGGGCGGAGCCACCGGTCTCTGACAGCTTATTATCAGGTAAGGTCAGGGGCAGGAGGTCTTCTGGGATGCAGTTGGTAAAGTCCTCCACCGGGGGCACATCAAACTACACAGAAAAAGACATATTGAAAAAATCTCATCAGAACAAGCCAATCAAATGTGTTTCCAAAGCCTTCCTAAAAGTGAACGTTCACTAGAATATATTTAAAGAGATAGTCCACTCAAAAAAGAACATTTTTAAAATAGTCTATCTATCTATCTATCTATCTATCTATCTATCTATCTATCTATCTATCTATCTATCTATCTATCTATCTATCTATCCATCCATCCATCCATCCATCCATCCATCCATCCATCCATCCATCCATCCATCCATCCATCCATCCATCCATCCATCCGCCTGCCTGTTTGCTGTTCTATCTACCGTTCTGTCTATATGTCCATTTATTTATCCGTTCGTCCATCCATCCATCCATCCATCCATCCATCCATCCATCCATCCATCCATCCATCCATCCATCCATCTATCTGCCTGCCTGTTTGTTGTTCTATCTACCGTTCTGTCCATCTGTCCAATTATTTATCTGTCTGTCCGTCTGTCTTTCTATCATATCTATCTATCTATCTATCTATCTATCTATCTATCTATCTATCTATCTATCTATCTATCTATCTATCTATCTATCTATCTATCTATCTATCTATCTATCTATCTATCTATCTATCTATCTATCTATCCTTCCAATCATCAATCCATTCATCCATCCGTTCATCCATCCATTCGTCTGTCCAAGCATCCATCTGAGCATCCACCTTTCCTAAAAAAAATTGCACTTTTGTACTCAACAGAAGAAACAACATCAAACAGGTTTGGAACAACTGAATATTGAGTAAATGATGACAGAGTTTTGGTTTCGGGTGAACTATGACTTCCAATGTGGATTTAAATGCATAGTTTACAAAAAAGAGATTTGAAGTGGGTCAATTACAGTTTTTCTCAGTCGCTTTGGTGCGTTTCTCACAACCCCAGTGCATTTCTGCAAGACAGTTAATGCATTTGTCAAAACAATTAGTACAAACTGCAAAACCTAGCTGATAACCTGCAAAAGCGCGTCACATGCTCAAAACGGATCGCTCATTCCTCAAAAGCAAGTATTGATGTCAATCAAAGTGTCAGTATCATCAAAATGAAAAGTCCCAACACCATTGTTTATGAACAAGATAGTCAAATGGCTTTGTCATGTTTTCATTATGACACTTTACTCTGTACAATTCCTCCAATGCTAAAAAAGTCAGATGTTGGTGACACTTCCTGAAAATGCTGAAGACAGCCCTTTATCCCACATAGCAAAATTTCTCTGGCCCAGCTCTGGCCCACACAATCAGGTTTTGCTTGGCCCACATGCCGCAGTGAATTACGGTATATGACTGGACCAAATCTGGCTTCCAGACAAGGGCCAAACACAGACCATATCTGGGCCAAGTCTCAGCCAAGTTAATAACTCATAACTGGGCTAGATAGGTTGGTGTGTCACGATTGCAATGAAATTGATAAACCCATGGAGTGATGCGCTTTAGGCACACTATGGGCACGCTTTTTCTCAAAGTGACCTGATTGGTAGAATATTTTTTCTTTACTCAAAAATGATTTTAATGTATTTTAAATGTGGGTCAAGACTGGCCAAACTCACATGGCCCACTTATCAAATTTTTAAATCTGGGCCAAATACTACGTTTTACATCTGGCCCAAATCTTGTGTGCCGCCTTAAAAACGGTGCCACCTCTGCCAAACCCGGGCCATGTTTGGCCCACATGCTGTATGCCAGTGCCGGATGAATGCCTGCTGTGCCAGCTTTTTGCCAAATCTGGGCCAGAATTCTTTGCTACTAGGGATACTATTAGCACAGCCATTTGAAAACTACAGTAAAGTTAGACATCACTGCATTTAGTGAGGTATTTGAGTACAAGACACTGGATATGTATGTTTCACATGTTTATTGCATTTGCTCTTTGCAATTCTAATTTATTCACAACATTGTGCAAAAGAATAAATAAACCCTTATTTACAACAAACATAAACTTCCTTTGGGTAGAGCTGTGCACAACTGTAAACAATACTGCAGTACATATTGGAACTGAGCCTACAACATACACAGGTCTGTAAATCATTCATGAAACTGTTCAATTTTTAAGACATTTTAAGAAAAATAAAGATTTACATTTTTTCATAAAATTTGCTAGAAAGATTTTGACAGCTAGTTCAACATTTTCGTATGTAATGGCTCAAGTAATGAAATGAGGACTATTAGTTTTGTATGTAATGACTATTCAGCATTTACAAGTTTAGTTAATTTTGACTGACATGACATAAGCATATGATAATGTTTGAAACAGCAGAGAGTTGTATAAAAGCAGTTACTGCATGTCCAAAAGCATCTGCAATGTGTTGGAAGGAATGAGAAACTGCTCCTAGGATGTGCACAAGTTGTAAGTTACACTCATTTGTAAGTTGCTTTGGATAAAAGCGTCTGCTAAATGACTAAATGTAAATGTAAATGTGCACAAGTTGTTTTGAGAAATGCATTAACTGTTGTGCAAATATAAATAGTGTTGTGAGAAATGCACCAAAGCGACTAAGAAAAAACTGTAAGTCAAAATTGAAGGTAAAAAATGTTTACTTAGAGTTTACTAACAGCTGGACACATTCGCTCATCCAGTTTGTTTTTTATAGATCACAACCTTTGCGTGGGAAGTGCAAACCACCATTTTGTGTGTATGTCATGTTTCTAAATGAGACCCCAGATATGGCCACCTATCACCTTACATTGAGCGGAGCATCAGTGCTGTCTGTGGAGTTCAGGCTGCTGTTGGGAAACACCTTCCGATGGAGCTGGGGACTGATGTCCATCTTGGCGTCTGGGGTTTTATTGCAGTTGTCATTGGCCTCGTTGTCTTCAGCAGGAATCTCCTCACAGTACCTGCACCAGGGAGAGGGGCAACAGCTGCAGGTCAAGATTACCAGCTCGGGCAGCAGAAGAGACCCTCTCCCACAGACAATAATGGGATGAACCAATAGACAGTGGGGAGGGAGAATGAAGAGGTCTACAAAGCTGAGCTATCAGCATCGCTACTATTTATCACAGCTATCCTTCATAAATCATTTTAACATGCTGATTTGCTACTCTAGAAAATATTTATTATATTACTAATAATGTAACTAATAATGTTTGATGAATGTACTGTATCATGGAAAAGAGCTGAATTAATTTCTGCAACACTACAAACATTTACCATTACCTTCAATGCAATTAGGCAACCTATTTTGAACAAAAGTATTAAGGAGGACCTATTATGCCCCTTTTTACAAGATTTAAAATAAGCCACCGATGAGTTATTTTAACATGATTTGGTCATTAGTGTATCCAAACAGGTCTTTTGTAATAAAATAGATACTTGATCAAAGGAAAAGGCTATTGTGACTGGATTAGAATCTGTTGCACACACACACACACACACACACACACACACACACACACACACACACACACACACACACACACACACAAAAACTTAATTCATTACTAAACAAAATTCCCCTCTAAGACCAAATATTCATATTATAAATGAAAGACAGCTTTCTAGGCTTAGAGAAGGTGGAGATCTGAATCAACAAAAATGATTCAGTAGTCACGACGGGGGAAAACTCACCCCATGGTGTTGAAGTCGTCATCAGGAGGTACATAATCCTCATCGTCACTGGTCAGACCCAGCTCATTCCCATAACACTGATGGACAAAATGCCAAAGCTCTTTGGGACATAATGGCTAGATTTAAAAAAAGAAAAAGAGAGTCACAGAGACTCGTTGGGCAATACATGGCCACCGAACATTTCCCAGCAAGCAGTTTTGTGTTTAAAAGACATCTAATAGACATCTAAACATAGAGGACTTTGCTTAAACAAGGTTAACTTTGGGCTGTCAGCAAAAAACTCTGATAGATGTCTAACAATAGTGCAAAAATAGACTAGTTGTCAGATAGACCCATATTAATAATAATAATAATAATAATAATAATAATAATAATAATAATAATAATAATAATAATAATAATAATAATAATAAATAATAATAATAATAACACAATTTTATAATAATATAAATAATATTAACATTAGTTATAATATTATTATTAATAATAATAATAATAATAATAATAATAATAATAATAATAATAATATATTATTATCAATAATAATAATAACACCATTGTTTATAATAATATAAATAGTATTACATCAGTGATAATAATAATAATAATAATAATTATTATTATTATTATTACTATTATTATTAACAACAACAAAAAATAATTATAAACAGCAGCTACAGAAATAAAATTAACCATGCTAAATAATAACAACACCAATAATAATAATAATAATAATAATAATAATAAAAGACAGCAACAAAAATAAATTAATAATGATAATAATAATAACACCTATAACACCAATAATAAAAAATAAATAATAATAATAATAATATAAAAGCAGAAAAAATAAAATGAATAATGATAAATAATAGCAATAACACTAATAATAATAATAATAATAATAATAATAAAGCAACAAAATAATATTAATAATGATAAAATAATATTAACACTAATAATAATAATAATAATAATTAACATAATAATAATAATAATAATAATAATAATAATAATAATAATAATAATAATAATAAACAGAACCAACTAATATAATATTACAAAGGATAAAAAATAATAACAACACCAATAATATTGATCATAATAAATAAATAAATAAATAAATAAATAAATAAATAAATAAATAAATAAATAAATAAATAAATAAATAAATAAATAAATAAATAAATAAATAAATAAATAAATAAATAAATAAATATTGATTAGACAGACTTCACTTGTGTAGTCATTCGTCCCTGTTTTGTTTGTTTAACCCAAGACATCTCCTGTATGTTTGGGTGTCTATTAGATGTCTTGCAAACACAATGTATTATATATATGTTTATAACAGTTACAGTAATAACAGTGGTGCATTATTTCCAACCTTGTCCAGCAGAGCATTTTGCCAGAGCCTGAACATCATCATGTACGTCCGATCTCTCGCTCCGAATGAGGTAAAAAAGTGCTGGGGAAGAATATGCCAATGTTTAGTGTTCAGGTTCGGCACTCTAGTGATATGCACAAAGTCTAAAGCTTGTGTTTACCTTTTCATTGTCCGTGCACAGCTGGATTGCATTGGGAATAAGTCTAGCCGTCTTCTCCTTCGTCATGGAGCAAACATCTTTTAACCTCACCGTCAGCTAAAATGCACAAAAACAGACTGTAAGTGAACTGAATGTCATTTTCCAGAGCTAAATTGACAAACTAAAACTCAATCTTCAAAAGAGGGCTGGAAATGAATGAGACTTTCGAGTTGTTTCACACTGCTCTGCGATAATATGGCATGAGAGGTTGATCTCATATCAGAGGTTGAATTATACATCAACTCACCAGCGTTTCCCAGCGGAATATGTTGCTATAAAAACAGATCCAGTTTTCAGAGAGGTAGAGGCGACCCTGCAGGAGGATATCTCTCTGCAGGGCACAGGAGTAGTCTGTAGGGAAAGGTCAAAGATCATTGATGTTACTATACATCTGCCAGTTTCATAAATCAGTTTTTTCTACCAATTTAATATATAATAGACAATGACGAGCCTATTTTTAGATTAAGCTTTTATTTTTTACATTTCCCCCTTGTAACCAGCGGATGTCTTCAGTGTTTCTAGCGCATCTGTCCAGTGAATCCAGCTCGTGTAATGTATTGTGCAATCGGCTTGTTAAGCAGTGTCGAAGCAGTTACCGGATATGGTAATAATAAATGTATACAATGCGCTGTAATATTCTCAAAAAACATGACGGCAACATACACTCACTGGCCACTTTATTAGGTACAACTGCTTGTTAACGCAAATTTCTAATCAGCCAATCACATGGCAGCAACTCAATGCATTTTAGGCATGTAGACATGGCCAAGTCAATCTGCTGCAGTTCAAACAGAGCATCAGAATGGGGAAGAAAGGTGATTTAAGTAACTTTAAATGTGGCATGGTCGTTAGTGAGAGACGGGTTGGTCTAAGTATTTCAGAAACTGCTGATCTACTGGCATTTTCATGCACAACCATCTTTAGGGTTTACAGAGAATGGTCAGAAAAAGAGAAAATATCCAGTGAGTGGGTGTTTGGTGGGCGCAACTGCCTTGTTGATCCCATAGGTCAGAGGAGAATGGCCAGACTGGTTCCAGCTGATAGAAAGGCAACAGGTAACACTTCAACTGAATCTCTGAACACACAACATTCTCAATGACATTGATTCCCCTATATATTTATCATTTTAACTGTGGTCTGATCGCTGCTGTTGTTTTACATTAAAAAGGATTTTTATAACAAAGTCTTTATCGTCATCTTTATATTTATCATGCTAGGTGTGAACATCCTTTAAGTCTTTATTTATTACAGGCTTAAATAGACTCAGTCATTTCAGATGTTTTGGCAATTACAAAGACTTTCTAAACAACTTAACATTAGCTTTTGGCCAAAAGTGCATATACATAATTCAACAAAAATGTTAGTAAAAATCTAATATGCAGTAACACTCACCCACAATGAGGCGCTCTGTGTCGGGCAGCTGCTTAAAGAGTTTCCTGAAGTCTTCATTCCGCTGCTTGTATGTGGGGCTCAAAACCTGAGAGAGAGAGAATAAGAGCAGCCTGATGAACATACTGTACATACAGTCACTCACACACATCTAAACATACAGTCAAAACACAACATACAAAGACCCCATAGAGTGTGTATTCGAGACAAACTATAAAGCGGTCATTTGACAAATGTGTGGCATTGGTCTCTAGCCTTTGCTAAATGCTTGTGTTGTTTAAAGGTACAGTTTATATATCTGGCTGTTTGTATTAAAAGATTAAAATTGTATTACAAATAGTATATAAATATACTCATACATTTTAATACAAGAATTGCTGCTGTGAAGAAAATATAAAACTGTGTATGAAAAGCACCGTCAATGCATTGTGATGCACTGAGATATCGAATTGAACTGAATCGATGGCATGATATTCGTAACCGAACCGTGAGACCAGTGTAGGTGAGACCTGTTTTGTAATTGGTTGCTTACAGCAGGTACTCTCTCTGAATCCCAGTCCCAATCTGTCCAATCACACAAGGCCATTTCAGACTCTTGAACTGCCTCCCAATCATATAGCCAATCAGACTCAGCGTCAAAGCTGAGGACTTCCATCTCTCCAGTCCGTTTGTGGAGAAATTCACACTTATTGTGTCAGTCCTTCCCAGCACACAAGTACAGCTTCATCAGGCCACGCTCAGAAACGACCTGGAGTAACCTCTGCAGCGGTGCTCTGGCATCCCCCGTTTAACTGAATATCAGCAGCTAAACAACAGGCAAACAGTCCTCCAAGGAGAGAAGAGAAAAACTTCTCACACACACCACTCGCGACAGCAAAAGAAGCTCGCTTTCTTCAGAAAATGAACCAATTTTTAACAAGACCCAATGGAACGCTAGTGGTGCTTTCTATAAAGCTGTAATAGTTGAAGTCCAGTGGAATTGCTCACTGTTTTGGGGTTTGTAATGCAGATTGGAGATGTTCCTTGCAGCTCTTCTTGTTTAAGCGTGTAAAATGACACAATCCAGTAAATAACTCTCGAGTCTTGCCACTTCACTTTTTCAGATCCAACACCTCATGATGATTTTCTAACATGGAAATCTGTAACTACAAATCCCAAAAGTCTCAAAAGAAAGATAATGCAGTCCCAGAAAAATCCAGAAGCAAATATATTTGACTTAAATCCAAAAGCATATATATATTTTTTTATCTCTCAAGGAACCCCTACGAAGAAAAAAAAACAACTTGTGGATAAAACAGAAGTTTTCTTCTCTTCAGACAAACAAAAAAGATTTCTTCAGCATGTATAAAAATAGTAAAAACTCCATGCATTCATATCCTTGCAAGCCTACGATGACATCCTCAGCTGAGAGTGACTTCTGGGTAAACAATCCCACAGAGGATGCAAAGTTTCTCGCATTTAATCTCACATAGAGAGCATCTTAAGCTTTACTACGGCAGGAAAGAGTTCTCACTGAGACCTTCTACAAAACAACACTGCCAAGAGGAGTGGGAGGGGCCTCTGAGAATGTTTGTATGCGAGAAAGGAGGAGGGGGTGGAGCCAACAAAAGCCAGCTGACCAATAAAATGCAAAGCAGAGGAGAGAGGAGGGGCTGTGCCAGATGTAGTGAGCTCAATCCTTGAGGCTGTACATTTTTCTCACTCATGATCCTACAGCAAGATTTATACGCTTCTCCTAGGACTGTCATGGTTTCTCAGAAATGTTCCAAAACACTTTTTATTGCCTGTTGCAATAAACAAATGTTTTCATTTTAATGTGAAAACCCCTAAAAAAGAAGCTATTCTTGGGTTTCCTGAGGTGGCAGAATGAGATCAAAATAGTGGGAGATGGAGAAAAATAGAGGATAGAGAGATAAAACAAGTTTTGAGAGAGAATCACAGAGGCCCCCATTGTGCTCCAGTCATTTTATAGTGTTAGTGTTGAGGCAGAGCCAAGGACAACGCCTCGGTCTTCCTCCTCTCCCCCGTTCCTCGCACTCGCACGGGGTGAACGAACTCTAGTGAACTTCCTGCACTGGAGGAAGGGGGGCATTTTGAGGGGATGCCAAATGGGTGAATCATCCCTCTCTCTTTCTCCAGCCTTTCTACCAATCCACTCTCAAGAAAAGAAAAGGTGGTACACGTTATATATACAGTTGAATTCAGAATTATTAGCCCCCCTATTTATTTATTTCGCCAATTTCTGTTTAACGGAGAGATTTTTTCAACACATTTCTAAACATAATAGTTTCAATAACTCATTTCTAATAACTGATTTATTTTATCTTTGCCAAAATGACAGTAAATAATATTTTACTAGATATTCTTCAAGACACTTCTATGCAGCTTAAAGTAAAATTAAGGCTTTACTAGGTTAATTAAGTTAACTAGTCAGGTTAGGGTTTGTGGTATGTATGGTTGTTCTGTAGACAGTCGAGAAAAAGTATAGCTTTGAGGGGCTAATCATTTTGACCGTAAAATGGTGTTTAAAAAATTAAAAACTGCTTTTATTCTAGCTGAAATAAAACAAATCAGACTTTCTTCAGAAGAAAAAATATTATCAGACATACTGTGAAAATGTCCTTACTCTGTTAAATATTTTGAAAAAAAGAAAATAAATCATGGGGGCTAATAATTCTGACTTCAACTGTATATATGAAGAGTTCAGATGCAAAACCCTCTAATTCCATCAGACCTCTTTTCTTGTAAATGAGTATTTTCTATCAGGCTCCTATAAGTAGGTTCAGAAGTTTAAAGAAATTTTAAGAAAATGAAAGTTATTAGTTAATAAATAAACTAACTTTTTTTTTCAAAAATGTCACTTTAGACAGTTCTTTGGTATTTAACAAGGTAGTTTTTCTTTTGCGTCAAAACCAGCTAAATCCACGTCTGCTTTTTATGCAAAAACTATTTGCGACAAGACAAAAAAAGTAGAAAAATCACTAAAGACACAATTAGAAATCATTTTACCACACATAAAACACATTACACAAACCACCTAAAATACATGAATCTGTCAAGTAAGTGGCGGTTCATTCCACTGTGATAAACCAGGAAAAAAGCAGAAGGAAAATGAATGAATGAAATCTGTCAAGAACTGCAGGTGCATAAATCAATTACACTAAAATCGACATTAATTAAATCTTAACAATCTGTTGTAATGTGATATTTGGATTTAATGTAAGTAGAGCTATGTAAACATTGTAAACTAAGCTTGGTAGACTCAAATAATGTAGTGTAAACACATTGTGAAACATCAATATCTGTGCATTGTACATTAATATAAAAAGCTGATCGGATGTATAAGTAATATGAAGTCATATAAATAATGTATAGTTTTATACAATATATTTATCTCTGAAAACTATCTAACATTAGCAAATAAAACACAAGGTAGGGCTACTGGGCGGAAAGAGGATGTCTTTTAGATAAAATTTTAGAAGCTGTCATTCATTCATTTTTACCATGGTCTCTTTTTCATCTCTTGTTTATCCTCATAGCATCCACGTGGGATAAAAGAACGGCATCTTAACTCTGTCGTTCGTGAAATGGAGTTACCGTTTATTGTATAGTAAATCGGACTCATTCAAAGTAGCGTTGCTGCGCAAACAAATGTTATGAATGCATGCTACACTTCCGACTGCACAGTGTGTTTTCTTTTTCTTATAATACACATAATGAGTTTTGAGGTAAGAGACGTTCATTTGCCATTCACTAAGAGTTGGACAGGCTCATCCAGTTGCCAACAAATCATTTCTAAATGCGCTGACGCGGGGATTTGGATGATTGAAAGACAAAACTATTTGTTAAACATGTACTACATGCCTAAAGCATTCACTCAATATCATTATCTCATTTTTGGCGTAAGTGGCGTTTGGCCACTTAGCTTTTGCATCTGAACTCTTAGCCCCCTTTGAATTTTTTTTTTCTTTTCTTTTTTTTTTGATTTTTTCCCAAAGGATGTTTAAAAGAGCAAGGAAATTTTCACAGTATGTTTGATAATATTTTTTTTTTTCTGGAGAAAGTTTTATTTGTTTTATTTCAGCTAGAATCAGGCCCGGATTAAGAACTCAGGGGCCCCTGGGCACATTGTCTTGTAAGGCCCCCTACCACCCCTATAGTTGAATTTAAAAAATAAGAATAATTTAATAATTTTTAAATAAAATTAATCTATAATTTATTGGCCACAAATTTAAATAAATGCTATATAGTACATATGTATTTATAGTCTACAAAGATTTAACTTATTTTTCAAAGCATTGAATAAAAATACTAATAAAACTATACATATATATATATATATATATATATATATATATATATATATATATATATATATATATATATATATATATATATATATGGTATTTTAATGTATTGCTTTTACAAACTTATAAAGCATATTATTGCCATGGCATATAACGCACAATGCTTCTCCAATCCAGTTCTATGAATCTGAGTCTTTCATAATACAAACACTGATTTATTGTATCTCCTCCTCTCCCTGTATTTTCTCTACTCTTCTCGTGATGAAAACTTGATTATAAACCTAAAAGTATACGAAATCACACATACTATACCTCTTCTCTCCCGTCTCCCTCCTCTTCTGGGCCTTTCTCTCTCTCTCTCCCTCTCTCTCTCCTTTTCTATCTGTCTCTCACACGATGAATCCAGTCCGCGCTGCGCTGCCGTTAGCCTCCTCCGACTGGTTAATGCTATCTCATCATTTAAAGTTACCATAACGTCTTCTTCTGTACCTCATTCTCCTGATCAAGGGTCTGTTTAAAGATGGTGTGTATGGAAAATGCCTCAATGAAGATGCCTCCTCTCCTCTTTCTCTCGCGTTTGCTAAATCCACTTGTCCACTCATTTTTGATCTATGACAGATATAACGTTACACTAAAGTCCGCTTAGTTTAGTGCGGGTTATTACAAAACTGACGTTTCCGCGCTTGACCAATTACAACATTCTGTTTAGTTAAAGAAAAAAAGGCAGTTTAAATATAATAATAATATTAATGTGTGATCGCGATTTTTTTGCTCAGAGGAAATACAGTTGTCTGAGCAATATAGTTTTTGCAGAGAGGGAGGCACCTATAATAAGGCTAAACATTATTAAATACCCACGAGACACTTGTGACTTTATATCACATTTCCATTATTTTTTAAAAATGTTTCCTTCCTGTTAAAAATAAATATATTTCCAATCTGATATGTAATGGGGAGAAAAAAAGTAGCACGAGTTTAGCTGATGGTGGATTCGAACCGAGTTTATAATTTATCGCGCCAAAAGACGAAACTGTGCGCCTTACAAGTGCGCCACTGCGGCTACAATATTTCATAGCTCTTCACTCATCATGTCTCTATCAATCAGGCATCGAGGGGCGTAAACCCTGAAAAGCTTATTCCAACTAGATGCGCTTTTTGCAATTAGCCAAAAAAAGACACTCCGAAATTGTCCTTTTTTTCTCTCCCCTCGCAGGGGCCCCTAGTGCGCACGGGCCCCTGGGCCTGTGCCCATAATGCCCATTGGTTAATCCGGCCCTGGCTAGAATGAAAGCAGTTTTTAATTTTTCAAACACCATTTTAAGGAAAAAAATTATTAGCCCCTTTAAGCTATATTTTTTCCGACTGTCAACAGAACAAACCATCATATAGTTAACCTAATTAACCTAGTTAAGCCTTTAAATGTCACTTTAAGCTGTATAGAAGTGTCTCGAAAAATATCTAGTCAAATATTATTTACTGTCATCATGGCAAAGATAAAATAAACCAGCTATTAGAGATGAGTTATTAAAACTATTATGATTAGAAATGGGTTGAAAAAATCTGTTCTCCATTAAACAGAAATTAGGGATAAAAAAAACAGGGTGGCAAATAATTGAGGGGGGCTAATAATTCTGACTTCAACATATCAAGAGCCACTGGACTCACAAAATCCTGGAGGGACTGAATAAGGTGTCGATGGAGATGCTCGACGCTCTTTCTGCCACCACACATGAGATGTGATTATTTACAGTCTTGTCTTGTGGCATATACAGTCCTCCTCCTTCACTGCTTGAGACTATATTTACATGTGAGCACTTGAGCCTGCAGTCATCTGCCCACCCAGGAAAAACAAAACTGAGAAAGTCTGATGCTTTCTGATAAGCTCACACTTGGAAAGTGTCCCGGAATCATTGTTTCCTGCTGATCCTTATAAACAGGGGCCATTATCTGCACACAGATGCTGGTTTTCACTTCAAACATCCTGTTTTCCTCTGTTTATGGTGACACGGAGAAGCGTCATGCCAAAGTCTACAGATACACAAAGACTGTTCCCTTGCATTACTATGAATGGGGAAAATTGCAATGCTCTGTTTGGCCACTACAGCAAATGCAAGCCCCGCCTTCCTGGTGAAAATAACCAATCATCAGCCTTTATACAGCTATTCAGTTTTGTGGGAAGGCGTCTGTACAGAATAGCTTGTTTGTTATGGCAAACGGTCATTTGGTTACTATTAAAACA